AGGATGGTATCACAGAATATTTTAGTTGGGCATCACTGGGTTAATTGGTTAGATATTTACAGAGTTCTTTAGTCGTAGAGTAAGTCAGATGAGTTTAACAGAATACACTTGAGGGCACTGCAGGGTATTTTAAAATATCAGTGATTTGGGAATGATCAGTTCCATAAACGATTATCTCCACAAAATCTGCACTTTTAAATTTGTGGTGCAGTGACCAAGCGTTGCAGTAGTCACACCTACCTGGATGATCTTGCTGAGTTCGTCAAACGTACCCTTGCAGTCTCCGCAGTAGCGTTGGGCCAATTGCTGAATGGTCTTGTTGACGCTGGCACTACTGCTGCTGGCTGCACCACCCACGCCGTCCTGAGACAAACCAGTAGAAAAAAGAGGGGTTTTTTTTGCTCGTCTTGAGGAACTGGCTCGATTGGTTGAGAACTGTCGTGTGACCACAGGCAGCAACTGTGCTGGTCTGGAGGGGTTTCCAAACACTCGGCTCTGTCTCATTTGCCAGCTACAGGGTTTTGTGCTGCGTCTCCATGTGTCCGTCAGTCATTTGCGTGTGGTTTGTCAGGTTAAGCCATCGGCAGAGCTGTGACATGAGGCCCGTATGATACTGTCTATGTTGGCGTGTATGTCTGTGTGTCTGTCAGTCATTTACCTGCGGTTTGTCCTGTCCGGCCTCATGTACTCTGATCAGCAGGGCCTCCAGATGTGGTTTGTGGGAGACCAGTTGGCGGTAGACACGGTCAGCCTTCTCAAGCAGCGAGCTGATGGTAGAGGTTGCCTTTCAAAATAAAGAAAAAGTGAAGTATCAAGCGGAGAAATGTTGAAGTAGTATGGATGTGGATTCCAAGACCACCAAAGATGGTTAGCTGGTTACTTTTTACGTCACAGAGCTAATATCTTGATTTCAGGTAAAATAATAAGATGAAGTACGTACAATGGAAGAGAAGAGAGAAGGGAGGGTTACCTTTTTACGGTCATCTTCAGTCTCGATTGGGTCGACAGCACAGCAGGCTCTGGCTGTCAGGGTGTAGTCAAACTTGGCGTACTTGCAGAAGCCGCAGGCGTTACACAGGTACGGGTCCTTCTCGTCATAGTTGATGGCCCTGCAGGGAAAAAAAAGCCAAAGAGAACTGTCACCAAGCCTCGAGCATTGAAGCAGTATTTATTCAAGTTATCTAAATTATACAAACAACCTCAGTTTAAGGTAGCAAAGAGATTTCAGAGATTAAAGAAAAAATGATGCTAAGTCAAAAAACTGCAACAAACTGCTAACTGAATTTAGTGTGCTATATTACCTAAATCCACAAGTTAGAAAAGTTGAGGATTTGATCCTTTGATTTGATTTTGTGCAGAATCTTTCTCCAAGTTGGCATGGGGACATTTTACTCCTGGGGGTAAGATTCTCTAGCGTACCTGCACTTGTGGCACTGGAAAACATTCTCGCCGCAGTTCCCGCAGACGCCCGGGTTGGCCGGTACCGAGGCGCTGCAGCGGGGGCACTGCAGGGTCTCGGCTGAGGCTGTCAGGTTGTCGTAGAAGTCGGCGTACTCGATCATGAGGTTGGCGGCCACGATGGGCAACGGGAACTCCACTTTCAGCTCTGTCTGGCCTGCGGCCAGCTGACACTTGCGAGCCTTGTGCCACATGGTGGGCCTAGAGAAAAAAAAAAGAAATCACAATCAAAGACAACTGACACTCTATGATCGTAACCCCTGAAAACATTCCTCTCTACAAACTTCTTTTACAAGAGCCATCTATGCGATATCTGGTGGACAGTTGGCAAATTCAGCATTGGTACATAAGTCCAACCACTGGTACAAAAAATGCTTCTGAGGTTTTTGAAATATAAAATTCTCACGGTACGACACAACTGACTCACTTGTTTTTGAGTTCCACCACGGATTGCACGGTGCGGTTGTTGTAGTAGATGTTGATGGTGCGTACCATCTTGGTGCGCTTGAGGTCGCTGATGCGCAATGACACCTTGGCGATGGTGTGAGTGCCCACCAGCTTGACGATCTGCGAGTTGGCTGTGTAGCGCGAGTCCACCTTTAGCGTGGTCAGCTTCAGGTTCTGTCGGTTGGAGATTTATGGAAATTGAGTTTCATCTGTAAAGTCTAAAAACTCGTAACGTTCACGTTCCTTTTTTTATGTTTCTTTCAGAATGACAAATGATCAGAGCCTGAACTTAGATGGACAAAGGTAATTTCATCGAAAAACAAAAAATCTACAACTGTATCTTACAATGGCAAGATTCTTCTAAAATCAAATGAAGATCAGCCAAAAAGCTGTTCAGAATCCTTCCTTGCAAATGTTTCTGCAATGGACAAGATCCTGGACTTACAGAAAACGGGACCTCTGGATTGTTGCAAACCAGACAAGGGTCGCTCTCCAGGAAGTAGCCGTCAAACTGCACAAGGCCAGACAGCATGCTGCAATGGACAGAAATGTATCACATCAAAGTATCTGGTGAGAGCTACGTACACTAAACTAAGTGTGTCATGCGCTCTGGGCATGCACTAAAGAGGGCGCTCTCTGGCATTACAGTGAGGCTGACAAGTGTGAATTGACCGGCTGTGGCCTGGAGTAATACACCTGTCTATGAGAAGTGGCTGCAGCCACTAGTCTGTGGCTTCCGTAAGTACACATATTGATTACAGCCGCAGTAACAATTTTGGATATGACCTGAGTGACGGGCTCTTCCATTATGCGACTGCTCCAAGAACCCTCCCAAATTGAACATGGTCGGAAACCACAGTCTAATGGAGGGCAGAGAGAGGGGTGCTTACTTGTAAATGGTGGAGTTGGGATGATTGGCGAGACATTGGTTCTGTGTCTTCAACAATGCCGCTGCTTTCTGGACGTACTGCTGGGACTGAAATAAGAAGGGAAAAGGAAAACGTAATCCCAAAGGACTTGTTCATGGTGCAGGTTTACAAATGGTGCCATGTTGGTTTTCATTTCAATTCTGGTGGGAATTTCAAACACTTTCTGAAATACTTTGCAATAAAATTAGCCTAGTGCTAACTAAACCACAAAGAAAAGAACGCACAGAGGATGGAAACAATGCGAAACATTTAGACAGGCAGAACACTGCTGACATAAAAAAAAGGACGCACTTTGAAATATGTAACATGGAATCTAGTAAAAAATAACAAAAACATGTATGTGAAATGTATTACTCTTGAACTGGGAGACAAGTGGGATATTTCTCAAATCTTTGATTTCACCTTCTGCGCGCTGTACGGCGCCTTGAGCGAGAAGTAGCCCAGGAGGTCAACAAACTGGGCGGCTTTGCGCCCGTAGCTGGACAGCTCCGGCCAGAGTTCCCACATCAGCTCCAGCAGCTGCTCCTGTTGGCTGAACTGGGAACTCCTGATTTAGGAAAGGTGGGAGAGAAAACATCAACAAGTTGACATACTCAAGATGACTGTTAATTAATAATTTAAAAAACTGCTTTACCATCACAATGGTTGTTCTATTATCAGATGTGCATTGAGCAGTGTATGAGTGGAGTCTATTGCCAAGTCCGACAAGAATACTTGGATGTGAGATGGCACAGCTGGAATCAAGGCTAAGAACCAAAGCTGCATTGAATAATTTGACCGAGTAGGAATGTGACTGGACATGCAGCTTAACAAAATTATGTGAAAATGTACCTAAGAGCTTAGACTCCGACTCCAGTCTGCATCCTTCAGTAAAATATGTGTGTTTCTACATTTTCAGAATACCCATTTTGTATACCCACATTCTAAACCCACAGCCAAAAACATTAAAGCTCAGATCTCACCGTCTCATAACTGAGACTTTGTACTTTAATTTAGCTTTTTTCAATGCCTGATAAAAAGAGCAAAGATCTCTTTGAAAACTATGAGCCCAACCAAAATGCTAAGAAGTGGCAGGTTGTAATTTGCACCGGTGTCAGAGATGTTTTTTTCTTTTTGGAGGAGAGAAATTGACCTGAAGATGTGCAGGAGTAGGCCGTGCGCCTGCCAGCGCACCGAGGTGTTGTTGGACTCTAGCAGGTGCTGGCGGACAAAGCGGGAGAGGGAATCGCGGCCGGCCAGACGGTTGAGCTGGTTGATGAGGGACTGACACAGGCTGTCGTCATGGCGCTGGCTATCTTCCGAAGATTCTGAAATTACAAACGTGGATTACTTTTCCAAAAATTTCAAAGTGTTGACATTTTAGTCTGATAAAGTAATGTGACTGACTTCTGGCGGCGCTGCCTCTAGAAAAAGACAGCAAACACACCAGACCTGCAGTCTGCTTGGAACTGGATGTAGAAGCGCCATCTTTGACATAAGCCCTGCCTTTGGGCATCTTCCGGTCTTAGGTCTCAAGGTCACATCCAACCTTAGTAAATTCAGACTCCAACCTCAAGGTCCAAGGTCCAAAAGACCACGAAAAGACTTAAAATCAAGTTAAGCAGCTTGGGCAATTTCACTACAACCATTAAAGATATACACATCAATAGAAACCTTTAACTTTATAAAGATACTAGCGTGATTCAGAGGAAGACTTTGGGTTGGTCCTTAGGAATTGTTCAGAATGTTCCACTCACTATCCCGCCTACCCTCCGACTTTTCAGCCTTCTCCTTGCTCTTCTTGTGTTTGGAGGAGGAGGTCTTGTTGCCGCAGAGGGCACAGGTCAGCAGCTGCAGGAGGAGGGGAGACACACCCTCATCTAGGTAGAAGCTGGCTTGCTGGAGGCTGGATAAGACGGCTTGGGGGGGAAGAGGTGAAAATAAATGATTGAAGTACACATATATTGACTGGCAATAAGGGCAATAGTGTTATATTGACTGGCTACAAGGGCAATAGGGAAAAGCTATTGCCCTGATGGACAGAAAAAAGAACAAGAAGTCCTGAATAGTAACTATTGACTGGAGGGCACTAGGAAATGACTATTCATGCTGAGGGACTAACAACAAATGACAATATGAGGGAAATATGTTGAAAGATTCAAAGCTGAAGGAAATATGGCCCTCCTGAAGGTGAGACTGCGAATGTCAAAGATACTCTTACTCTCATCCTTGTGGCAGAACTTCTGCCAGTTGAGGGTGCGGGATGCTGCAATCTCCTGGCAGGCCTTCAAATGCTCAATCTAAAAATGAGGAAATACACAACAGAAACTGCGTCAAGATAACTCTAATTCATATCAGTAAGCATGCAGGAAACCATTATTCCCAATTAGAAACAAGCCACGAAGAGCAATGTGTGCAACATGGAGAAATGGGTGGGGGGGGGTTGTGATAGATGGAGATTAAAGGCAGTTTAAAACTATATCCATCACAGGTAGGTTTTCTTCAGTTTTTATCAACTCACCAGGGTTATAAGAGTGTCGTAGGGTAAGGTGATTGGTACATTGCTGGTGTTGTCAAGCTCAAGGCCGTTCTGACTACAGATGGACCTGGTTGTAGAAAGCAAAATGTCAGTGCCAACTTCACTGCCTTAAGACTGTCATAGTGCCCTCTACTGTTCAAAAAGATTCTGGATGCTATTAAGGGATTGCATGTTAAAGGGACATGGAGGCCTAATGTTTCTTCAACCTTTTTTATCATCTTCTAGTTCAGTATTTGCGTGTTACTGACGTTTGTACAGAAAAAGGAGCTTAAAGGGTATGTTAAGTGTCTAAATTTTTCGCAACTTCGTATCGAAGTGGTTAGACAAGTGGAAAAAACTAATAAAATCAAGGCCCTTGAAGTTGATCTGTGCGCTGATTGTGTGAATTTGTATTGCTTCTTCTTGAGTGATTGGAGAGTTGAAACCACAATATCGGGCCACTCTTGTCTCTCAAATATGAAATTGTTTTAAGGTGGACCCTGAAGAAACCTAGGAAGGGACGAAAATACCCACAGACAAAAAATGTGTTGTGATTAGGGTACGTGCCACATTATTGGTCAAACGGACAGATGCTGGGCTAAGTGGACCAATCAGAACAAGGACTGCTTACTTGATGTCTCGGAGGTGAGATTCCAGAGTGTGCAGGTCGCGCAGTTGGCGGTACTTGTCCTTGGAGCCGCAGATGAAGAGTAGGAGTTTTCTCACTTGGCGCCTGACGAAGGGTGTCTGCTGAGTCATCATGTACTAAGTGACCAAAAACAGACCAGATCGCGGTTTCCAAGTGACACTAGCCAATGGGAAGCTGCTTGACCCTAGAGGGCAGCAGAATAGCAGGTAGACTCAACCTCCCCTGTCATTTGTCAGTGGATGGTTACGGTGATGTTAGAGGGCAGCAGACATACTTAAAGCTCTCTGTCTTTCACGACAGCATTTTTTAAAAACAGATTCAGAGCTCCAGAACGATATTTTTCACATCAGGAGACTTGACATCTGCACCTGCAAGAAGCTGGTCATGGGTTCGAGTCCTATCCGGGAAAGCTCACGAGACTTCACGATATATCAAGCTTCCAGGGATCAATGAGAACACAGTACTCATCATGTCACTAAGGGTAAAAACTCAGTAGCAAAAACTAGTTGGATAGCACAGATGAACTTTGTGTTTATGATACATAACTAATTTTTAAATCGAATCATTTGGTAAAGAAATCTCTGTCCAGTAGTCTTTTATCGGTCCACCATTTTACCTCGCACAGATAGTAGAACCAGGCCTGGTCAAAGACAGGAACCCCCACAGATGGGGTGGCATCACAGATCTTCTTCATCTATACAAGAATGTAGCAAACAAAAGTACTCAGACAAGTCTAACTGAAAGCACCACACTAAAATCTCTCATCAACCGACATGACATTCAGAACATTGCCAGTACTAAATGAAACATACCTGGTAGGGCAGACGCAAGACCATCTCTGTCAGGAGTTGGGGGTAGGCTTCGAAAACATCTCCCGCATGGCCCTTAAGAAGAAGAAGGAACATTTTACTATTCAATAACGATGCCATAAATGTGGCCATCGAGCCAGTGTTTAACTTTCACTTTCCTTGGAATGAAACAAGTGAGAATATTTCCATCTCCTCGGCTGGAATGCTACTCAACCACAGACTGCTCTCCAACTAAAGCTGGTACCTGCCTATACTCCTGGGAGGAGAGAGGAAAGCAGAGTAAAATGGCTTGCTCAAGGACATAACCTATAGCCAGCCACTGGATTCTGACCCGCCAGTCATAAGTCACAAAACCAGTACAATTTGGTCACCCTCCTTAAACGTCAGTCAATCACGCTAGAGCCTACGGAGAACTACACATCTGCACGGGATGAGATTCTCTCACCTTAACGTACTGTCTCAGGAAGAACGGTGACATGTCCGGAGGTGAGGAGGTTGGATGAGGCTTGAGAAGGTTACTGGAGCCTCCTGACGCATCCTGGAGAAAGATGCCAACAGACAAAAAAAGCTTGGGGCCCAATTTTATGGAGTTGCAAAGAAGAAATTTTACATGACGAGCAAAGGTGGCTGGGAACCAGTCACAAGAAATACATGTTCACTTATATTTTGACTGGTAACTTGGTTTTGCTTAAAATTATTTCTGTGTCTAGCAAATGTCCTCTGAATTACCTCTGGAATACGGAAAAAGAAATATTTACAAAATGGGTAAGACACCAATCTGGATAGTGGCAAATTTTATCAACAACTCAGCCACGCTGGACACATAACAAATAGAACTGCTTTTCTAAATTTGTTTGTCCTATCCAGGAGGATCAAATGCAATACCGAGAAAATATGCCATGAAGTCTGCTGGGAGTCTAGTTCCTTACCTCGTCCACATCTGTTTCCTTCCAGTGGTCTAGGAGGGCCTTGAGAATCAGCAGACAGTAGTCAACAGCACCCCAGCTGAGAAGGGCTGAGGCCGTGGCGTGAGAAATCAGCGTGGAAGACTGAGAAAAAGCAGCAAAAAAGGGAGACAATCGATGCTTTCAAAGCAATTTTGAATTCAGCTTTTCTAATCCTCTGACTGTCCCCTGACTTTGTTCAGATATCCTAGGGGGTTAGGGTATATAAGGTTCTGTGCACAAATGGCAAAGGACATTATAAGTACTTTCACAACTTATAACAAGTACTTTTCAAAAGTTACAACAAGCACTCCCACAAGTACTTTGGCAATACTAAAAATGGGTGAAGAATGATTAAGGAAAGTCGTCATTACAGTTCATCTATGAATAACTTGAGGCTTGCACTGAGACCTGGGTCGTTGTGGTGCACATGTGAAGTATCAGTGAAGTACTCGACTTCATCACTGCCCATGAGACAGTCCCAGAGGGACTCACCTCGCTGGCTGCCTTAGTCCCCGACTTGGTGCGCGACATGAAGACGCTGAGCAGCCGCATGATGATCAACTGGACCTCGTGGAAGGCAGTGCGCTCGGCTACATCGGCAAAGTCCCGGCGGCGCAGGTTGAGCTCGGCCAGCATGGTGGACAGCAGGCTGCCCAGGGAGTGGCGGTCTTTGTCCTCCTCGATGTCCAGGTCCGAGCTCAGCATCAAGACCACCTAGCAAGATGCCAAGATGAAACCATCAACTGAATGCACATTCAACTATTTCTCCTGATCTTGCCCATTACAGCCTCCTCGATTAAAGGGATGGATATGACCACGCCCACCTACATGAATGAGATACCCTCAGCCTCGCCCATCACTACCCCTTAAACTTGGACTGCCCTTGCCTCATTGACAACACCCACCTGCAAATGTTGGACTGCCCTAACTTGACCAATCACACCCGTCTGCATGAATGGGATGGCCCTGACCCCGCCCACCACACCCACCTGCATAAATGGGATGGCCCTGACCCCGCCCACGTCCCTAAGCTCGGGCAGGTACTGCAGCAGTCGATCCAGCAGCATCAAGCGGAGGGCATGCATGCGCTGGCCATGGTCGCGCTCTGTCTCTGTCTCGCCCTCAGGCATCTCCACGCCATCCATCAGCGGGTTGCCTAGTGCATTGCCAGGGTGACCACTGCTCTCGGCACTGTCCGGACGTGTTGCGATGGGCTCGTGGACACCGTCTCCATAGGCGCTGCTGCGACCACTCGCTGTTCAACAACATTTGAAACAACGAGTTTCAGAAACCTAACCCTGGATCTGATGAGGCTCTTTTAAAATCCATCAGGAAGTTTTGGAGGATGTTAGAGAGCTCATAAAACTCAAAAATTTTTCCTGCATTACAGGCCACTAGTTTTCCCTTCACAAGCTTGGAAACCAGTCACTCATTTAAGTAATCAATGGTTACTCACCGCTGTGTTCCCCGGTGATGGAGTCAACAGCACTGCCCCCGCTCTCTGACCCTCCACTGCCAGCATGCTCAGCAGGGGAAGTACGCAGGGTGGACCCATCGGTAGCAGCCGTGCTTCCTTCATCGTCACTGGCAGCTGAAGAGGGGAGACAGCCAGCCAGAAATGAACAGCAACATTCTAGGTTTCATGCCGATGTCAGGTTTACGGCAGCCTTGAATTTGTACAGGAATCCTGTTTAGAACTGTAGCCAAGCTCTCACAGGCTTTTTGAAGGATATCGTCTTTCTAAAGGATACTATCTTTCTCTGCCCAAAGTCAAGTGTTTTCCAGTCACGTGAACAAGATAAGGTTTTGTACACATTCAGTCGAAAATCGGGGGTGCACGCTTTGTGCCATGAGAGCACGTAAACTGGAATACGTAAGTTGCTCAAAATATAGTGCTATGCAGTAAACAAATGACACGTCAATAGTATTTTCACACAACTGTTTATACACATGGGCACTCATGCTTCTCTCTGATGCCACACTGCACGCATGTATATTGTAGCCGTGCATGTAATACGTGCATGCAGACACAAATTACAGTCGTGACTGGCCCAAAGGCAACAGGGTGGCGACAATGGATCTGGCTATTTGATTCAGATGAAAGAAATCATTATCACAAATACCTGAGGCTGTGGTGTCAGACAGCGTACCCGCCTCCAGTGAGGACGAGCTCTGCCCCTGGTGGTGGTGAGCAGCCAGCCCCAGGGCCTGCAGGTTCAGTCCTCCGCCTCCCCCGCCCCCTCCGTCCTGGCCTGACGACTGGTCCTGCAGGCTCAGGGCGATGGCCAGCTCCATCATGGCCTCGTCATCAGCGTCCGGTGGGATGTCCAGCATGGGGGCAAAGCCCCCGCTCCGGCCGCCAAGCAGGGCCTCCAGGGGTAGCTGGTTGACCCCTTGGGCGGCGACATTGCCCTCGGCCGGCTCCAGGACCATCGGCTCAGCTTGCTCCTATCAAAAAACAATTGATGTCCATCAAAGCCCTTTTAATGTGAACACTATGTCACAAACAGACGATAACCAGCTTTTCCAAATTTCAGCCTCGTTTCTGTCTACAGCTTCACAGTAGGCAAAAATACTCTCCAACTTTTAATGGTCCTCAAGCAAAATAGTACATTTTAATGAGTAAAATCTCCAAAGTTGGGGGGGGGCTAACAGTAAGGCCAAGCAGGAGATGGAGGTAACACTGACATTTCAAAAACTCGCTTGTGGACAAGAGAAACAACGCTCGCGCTGTTTGGTATAAAACCGGCAAAGGAACAAACTCAGGAAAAAATTGTTCAGAATATGGCTGTAAACAAAATTGGAGAGGTAACAAACCAGCACTAGATGGAGAGTAGAACAGTATACATTCCTGCAAAAACAAGATGAGGTTTTGGAATTTGGTGTTCCCAAGGTCACTCTTCAAATATCTGGTGGATAAAGACTGGAAATCTTTATCAAAAATTTCAGGTATGAAGTGTTTGAAGCAATTGTAAACTGAACGTAAGATTTGAATCAAACAGGACAACTTACGACGACTTCGTAGGAGGGTTCGTCTTGCGACGCCTCCGATACCTCCTGCACCAGAGGCATTTCCCCGCCTCCCTGGGGGGCCTTGTCTTCGGGTTCCTCTTCCTCTGCCACGCTGGGGTCTGGCGGTGGGGAGCTGCAACGCTGCGGGGAGGGGATGACCACCTTACGGCGTTTGTGACGGGGACGCATGACCTTGATAAGGGCTTGCTTGGCGGCAAAGCTGACTGACTGATCCTGGTGAATAAAAAGTGGACTTCAGCTCTTAATTCCTACAGCACTCAAACTGAGAACCCTCCTGAAACCTTCAAAATCCTACACTCTGCAGGAACCAATGGTACATTCTGTGCACTTCAAATTCAAAAGGGCATCAAGCCCCATGTACAGTAACAGAGGCTAAGGTCTACCTTCCTTAATTACTCAAAATCCTTTAAAATCGATCAAGAAAATTTGAAAGATTTTGCTAGATTGAGGAAAACGGCACCACCAGTACTTTAAACAAGCCACCCCATTCTGGGCTAATACATTAACTAAAACTGCTCAAAACTCAAGTACCAAACTAACAAGTCTGGTTCTAGACTCTGTAGAAAGTTTCTGACTTTCAAGATGAGCTCAAATGAAATCGAAAACCCAAGATGAGATCAAATAATGGCATGAACAACACAAGAAGTCCATTTCACAAGGCTGAATATGCAACCAAATTGATTAAGTGTAGAAAATGCTGGCTAAGCAGCAAGCAGTTACCAGCCCAAATGCCATGTAATGCCTACTGCCCGTGACTGGCTCCCGGCCCCATTTGTGCTTGCCAAGGAAATCTGCTAAGCGTGAAATCTGCACCCAAGGGTGCAACTTGACACAAACTGTCCTACCTCGCACATGAGGAGGCGTACGTACAGCTTGGTGGCTAGAGGGATATTGTCCAAGTCGCTGCAGGCAAAGGCATGGATGATCTCAACTAGTGCTCCGACGGTGATCTCCACGTGGGTCAGGCCTAGTGGCAAAAGCAAGATGGAAAGATGAAGGACTCGTTCTTTTTTTCTGACAAAATCACTGTCGTTTCTTTTGAATGCATCTCATCTCTTTTTGCAAGCATCTCAGTGACGGCAATTTCAGAGAGTGTCTGTGGCCAAGCCCAGTCCCATTTTTTTTTCTGCGTGATGTTTTCTCCAAATTTGTGCTAAATTTACTGGGATCATTTGGCTCTTCATACAGGGCTGAACCGGCCTTTCCAGGTACTCGCTGGTGCCTAAGCATAGCTGAATAAATAGCCACGGGGACCAGTGAATCGCTGCCCTTCACCAACTCTTTTTGAGGGTTTTCTTAATTTTGCTTTGGTCCTCATCTTCCACTCGAAGCTTTAATTTCATGAATTTAGTTCCTGAATGGAGACGTGAAAACTTGACACAGCTCCCCTTTATGCAAAGAAAGTACTTATTTGTTGTTTGTGAAGCCAAGGTTTGAAAAATATTTATTTAGCTTCAAAAGTAAAGATTGAAAGTAATCAAGGAAAAAACCTTGTTAGTCTACACTGCGCTAATGCAATTAGGCTAAGTCCCAGAGTTAGGGCTGCGGCTTGAAATGATGCATATGCCTATGGAAACCCTTGGCTAGTGGCTGTTGCAACTGTCCATAGAGGTGTGTGTTACTCCTGGACATAGCCATGTCATTGGGGCATCTACTGACCTGGTAAGCATGCAGGTGCCAGCATGGCGTTGGCTGGCTTGGAGCTATGCAACCTCCAGAAGGCCTCTAGCATGCGGGCCAGGAAGTGCTTGGACTCTTGCTCCGTCAGCCCGGTCAGTCGGCTGCTGGCTGGCTCCATGGTGGCATCCTCGGCTTCGGCCTCTAGGTTGGTCACCTCCAGATCTTCAGTGAAGGCAGACACAGACAAGACATTGGTAGGGTTGACGCCACGACAGGTTTGATACCCACCGAGGCTAACGAGCAGACTGGACATTCAGTCCCTATCTAATTCTGTAGGCTTTGTACCGTGAGCAGACATTGCGTAACGGTGCAAGGTTTTGACTTGCGTTTGTTACAACCCTGACAGTGCACTTTCCAAAGGTACATCTCTAGGTTTGAACTGTCTCTTTGAGGGAGAATATTCACAGGAACGTGATGTTGTGTTTGTTTTTGAAATGAATTGGCTTTGGAGGAGCAACTGAAAAGTCTAGTGAAAAAAGAGGCACCATAGTATGTTCCTATGACTGCATTTTCTGTCAAGATTTTCACTCCTGTGCAAAAACTGTGATTATTTATTTTGCAAAGACTGTATAATTGTGGTGATTAGAAACTTCTAGCAGAAGCTTATAACCTGTACCAAAAAAAAAAATTAAGACATTGAATGTTCAATGGAGTCCACTACCTGATTCCTTGGACGTGAACGTCTCACAGGTGTCGGCAAACCGCACCAGGTTTGTTGGGCGAGCCACTGCCACAGAGCGTGCCGTCACGACAAGACGCTGGTAGGCTTCAGGATCAAGGTGCTGCTGTTGTTGACTGTCGGGTTGGCACGAAGGGGCAGCTTGTGCCCGCAGCTGGGGTTTCTGGGAACTAGCCAGGCACTGGATAACGCGTTGCAGCTGGGCTTGATCCTGTGGACCGACACAGTCGCTAACCGTCGGCATGATATCATTCAGGGGTAATTTTGATACAAGTGGCCGTTATATTCTAGCCTTCCTTTTGCTACGGCCGTGTCTGAAACGGGCTTCCAGAGCTACGGCTAGGTCTATTGTCTATGCGTCTCCACGCATTTCCAATGGAGTGAAGACCTAGACCTAGCTCTAGACAGGTGATTCGGATGCAGCCTAAGTCATACGTCTTGCACTGAAGGCGCAGTTGGAGAAAGGCTTCATTGTGTTACATATGGTGTTGGGTCAACACGCTCTGAAAACGTTACCTGCTCTGTAGATAAAGTGGACTTTTGGAGTTGTCAAGTCCTTTAGAACACAGCTTTCATTTGGTGTGTCAAAATTTTGAAGGTGGTCAAAAACTGTTCAATAATACGCATATAATCATCACCTTTAGTCATTGCTATAAAATATAAATTATTCAAGTCCCCATTGAGCCAATCCTAAAGCAACTTCCAGTGGAATACAAAAAAATCTTCAAAATTTGAATGTTGACTTGCCTTGTGGTTGTGGAATGCCACACTGGATGGCTGCATGGTGGAGAGCAGTGACTTGGCATGAGATTGGACACTAGAGGGCGTCGGCAGGGTCAACAGCTCAGTGGCCAGGTCTTGAATGGTCTGCTTGATTGTCTCCTTCATGAAATCAAAAAAGGTCAAAGCACTTGAAGTTAGTTGGTGTGGACTTAGTCTTGGACAGCCTGAGAATAGATGACTTCTGATCAATGGAAACCAAGAAAATTTGACGCACAATGGACTGTTTGAACAAAGTAACCCTCTCCCCCATTATCAAAAAAGTAAAGTTGTGTTCAAAAGTTGTGGCTACAGCTTGAAATAACATTTGTGTCTATAGAAGCCACATGGCTAGTGGCTGCGGCCACTTTCCATGGACATATGAGTTAATCCCAGCCACAGCATTCAGGCATTCAGGCATGGCCTGAAGTGCTCTTTGATTGCTCTGGCTACTAGTTTAAACAGCGCCCTCTTCAGTTTGCGACACCCTGATATGAACACTCTAATGAAGATGTAAGGTGGTTTTTCCACAACACTTGGCTTCGCTTCCCTCTACAATTAAACTCCCTCTGACTCTGCTCTGTCGCGCATATTTAAAAGTTCCTGAGGTACTACCAGACTCATTGAGGTGAAGACTTGACAGTCCGGGGGGTTATAAGTCAGGTAAAGCCTGGGTCAAAGCCGGATATTGGAAAAGCCCACAGTGGATTCAGAGAAGGTAGTAAGAAATGTGACAGCATGTAGCTGTACATCCACTGATGCCAATTGCCTGTGAAATTTTCTAAAAACCTGAAAATTTCCCACTGCCAAGGGACTTACCCCTATGCTTTTGAGCCCAAAAATTGATCAAGATGCAATTCTCAAAAGAGAACTTTTTTGCAGGCAGAAATCTTCCTTCAAGAAGGGTTTCTGTAGAAAATCCAGTGCAGCCTACCTTGTCCTCCATGTTAACCAGACACACGAACCCGTCCAGCACCTCCAGTGATGCTGCCACCAGCCGGTCCAGGCTGGACAGGGTGGTGGTCGCGACAGCCGCGGTCACGGTGGCCGTTTCCGTCTCGGCGGCCGGCGCGGCGCTGCTGGAGGTCGGCGGGAGGTTGGCCCCACCCCCGCTGGTGGAGGGGAAGTCATCAGGCGGGTCATCCGGCCAGCCAAAGTTCTCCTTGGTCTTGCCGTAGACTTTGATGGAGTCCACCATGGTGACACCGGCTGGGTCGACCGATGGACCAACTGCACACAAAAAAATACAAGTACACCCCATTTAACTTTTAAAGTCAGAAACCCTCGTGGTGAAAATGCTATAGTAACATATTTCGCTCGTGTGTTTTGTTGGAGTACGACAGTCTGATCATTCTGATGTTTGCCTCACGTGCGACAGTACGTGGATCCAAACCCCACAGGTACCATGACATTTGTGTTCCTTGGGCAAGACGCTTAGCCACAATCGCCTCCCGCCAACTAAGAGTACAAATGGGCATCAAATTGCACTGACCACAAGCTGCTGCAGAAACTGATCGGGTTGCCCAGCGAGCAGGGGGTATTAAATGTGAAGTGCTTTGTGACATGAATGATAAAGCGCTACAGGGTACCAAAGCGTGATTTCATTTGGACGGGGAAGTGTAATGTGAATGAGTGGAGTCTGTGCGCATGCTAGTTCACGTGCTGGTTCTCGCTCTAATAACTTTTACGCACACAATTAAGCGCCTGACAAATTCACTTCTGTATTTCATAAATTCACTCATAAATATTTCTACGTGATCATGCCATCGCAACACCATTTGGTTGGTTGCTTGTCAAAGTACAGAAATGACAAACTTGTGTGACTAAGGTGCTGTTGCTCTGTGACTTACCAAAGAGCGTGAATTTCTTGTCAGCAGTGAGTGACTCTTCTCTGGTGAAGGGAATGTCAAACCATCGATTGCGCGTAGATGTCAGCTAGGAAAAGCAACAAACAGGTGAAATTAGATCCCAAACTAGGCACAAAGCAGGTAAAGAATGCTCAAACTTTGAGAGGAATCCTGACAACCAAAAACATCAAGACAGCTTTTTTGAAGTAAAGGAAATGGAACTTGGAATCACATCCTTTCAACGAAATAAAGCAGGAAACAGAACTCAAAAGACTGAAGTGAAGTGATTCTCTGAAGGGGCCTAATCCAGTGAAATCTGAAACAATAATTACCTGGACCTGGGTGCTCCGGCCGAAGACTTCTAGGTAGGAAGGCACACGCTCGATGGACTGGGCACCGACGTGGACACGGATACCAACCATCACCATGGACGAGTTGTTGTTGATGACCTCAATCATGAAACCGCCGGGCTGAAAGACAAAAATAAAATGCTAATTCTTGATTTTCCTATTTCCAACACTCTAGATTAACACAAATGCCCAAGGCTTATCCTTATTATCGTCAACTTGAAATTCACATGAAATATCTCACAGAGCCCTCTTGATGTTTCTAATGTGAGGGGTTTTGAAGCCTCATCATATCCTGAAGTACTGGTAGAGAAAATACGGGCAGTGTAGTGGAACGTGACAGTATCCAACAAACTTCTAGTTCTGAGTTGACGACACAAATAAAATTGGAATGTGGTAACCATTCTAGCAGACGGCACCTTTATAGAGTTTCAAAAGGAATGCTTTAAATCTCTAGGCAAGAGCAATTGGGCAAAGTTTGAAGAGATCAGAAAGGCAAGGAAGGTTAGCGGAGGATTTTGAAGGGCCGTGAAGCTGACAGGCTTGATCCTGCCGGTTCACATTCAAAGCAGGAATCGTGTCTTGGCTTACCTTGGTGTTAGCGACGTACATCCCTGTCGTGTTGAGTCGGTGCTTGACCTGCTGCACGTTGTATACTTGCAGTAGGTCGTTGCCGCCAAACTCCACGTCGTTCATGGGCTGGCAGTGCTCGAAGAAGTCGATGGGGAACGTGACCACACCGGACGGACGACCAGCTAAGTGTTAAAACAAGAACCGTCATCTTCACCTCTCTCATTCCTTGAAGGTTTTCTCATCAAATTTATAACTCAAAAAATTAAAAATCTACTTTGGGCATTTGGACATTTTGATCTTTACAATCCTCTTTCTCACAGGTAAATATTCTGACAACTTAAAAACATCCTGGATTTCTAAGACAATCAAAAGTTCGGCTTCCATCGATAAACAACTTTAATTTGACACCCAATAACTGCAACTTTTAGAAAAATGGATTGGAAGAGCCATACTTGACCCAGACTTGGTGACTTTCTTCTTGCGTATGGGCTTGAGGGCGCTGATGGCTCCCGTGGCCTGGAACTGGCTGGACATCCAGTAACCCGTCTGGTCCACGTTGGCCATGTAGATCCGAAGGCTGCCGTCCTCGCACAGAAGGATCAGGGTGGTGCGGTGCTGGTCTGAGGATGAGGAGTGACGGATGGCCACCATGTCTTGTACCTGGAGGTTAAAAAACACGCACAATTAACAGGGCAGGAAAGGCATGAATACCAGATGGATGTCCTCACAGTGGACTAGTAATGATCTGAGGACACAAAGCGAAGAATGGCAACCATATCTTGTACCTCAATATTAAATTAAAATTAGCAGGTATGTCTAAGACATCCACTGTCAACTGAGTCCTCACACTCGTTGATGTCCTCGCATAGGAGGGTAGTGTGGGACTGTTCTGAGGACAAGAGAGTAGTAAGTGGCAAACAAACACTGTATACAGCATTGTACAGTCAAACACTGTTGAAACAGTCACACTTGATGGTATTTGGCCCACAGCTATGTCCAAAATCAATTACAATCGGTTGACAGTTTAAATTTCAAACCACGAGCTCAATTTACTGGCCAAAACTAACATTAAGCAACTTGCTACAGATGTCGCTTGATAACGTCCTTGCTGCAGTATTCTTAAAAATATCGAGGGTGAACTTCAAAGGGCATCAGCTCAACTTGAATCTGGAGAATCAGACATGCACTTGTTTGTAGTTCCAAAATGATTTGTTGGGAATTGAGCTCCATACCTTGGCTTTGGCTGGTAGCGTCTTGATCTCCTGGATTCGGATACAGTCCGGTTCCACCATCAGCAGCACGGGGATGCTGGTGGTCTGAGTCAGGCAACAGACCAAGCCAGGGTGGTTGGACACCTCGCTCCACTGGCACAGGGCTGGCGGGTTGGTAGCCTTACCCCCACTGCTGCCATTACTGGGTGGTCAAATAAATAGAAAGAGAAGCACTTGGTATAAACCTGCACTTAAGATGAGCACCTTATAACGTACTTTACCCATTTTTCATCGGTACTCTGAAGGAATACCAAATTAGCAGTGAAATGACAGCGTTCTCTCTGCTCTCTCTTTTCTTGACTGACCTCTTCAGTGTAATTGGGAAGAGTTTCCCCAGTTCGGTGACTTGCTTGTTGATGGACGCACAGAACGATTTACCTGGGGAAATTTGACAAGAAGTAAGATTTACTGCTGACGCCACCTGATGTGAAACAGCTGTGATAAGCGTTACGGAGAAATGAGGCAGGAGCGAAAGCGCAGTGGACAGGTGCTTGCAAGCAGAAATCAGTAGAGTGGTATCACTGACAGATTGAGTCATGTCCTTGAGCAAGGCATGTTATCACAATCACTTCTCCAAATCAAGAACTGATTGGGTAGCGGTGACAGTGCTTGAAAAGTACATGGTTATAAATTTGCTGTGCTGAACATTTCAAGAGAGAATTAGACCATGTCTCAATCACATTAACAACACATAAACACAGTTATCAAGAGTAGACAAATGTTTACAGTTGGTAAACTTTTATGTGAGTTCCCAGACTTGGCAACGAAAGTACTCACCCTGTGAGAAGCTGAAAAAGAGTAACTGCAAGGTGTGTGAGTAGTAACAGGAGACACCACCGCCAGCAACTTGACCGCCTGAATCCTGTCCACACGACAAACAAAAACCCACAGAATCTCATCAATTCTTTTGTCCTGGAGGAACTTGAAAATGGTTCTTTGACTGCTTTTAAAAAAGTCTGACCTTATATTTTTTTCATGTGGCCTAATACAGCATTGCTAAATGTGAACAGCAACTTTTGATTGGTAAATGCTTTGACCAATCACAGACCTTTAGCTCGTCATGCTTCACCTCCAGCACGTTAGTGACATAGAACGGCCCGTGCCGGGCCTCGCTGGCTTCAACCATGGGCTGAGTGTACAGGTAACCAGCCGAAGACATGAGTACCAGCGTGCGGGTGTCCTCGTCCGAGAAGACGAAGCAGGCATCTCGAATCTTGCCGCTGGGGACGAGGAAGTAGAAACACGGGCTGAGAGCGTCACGAGACAAGTCGTAAATCTGCAGGGAAAAAATAACAAAGAAAGTGTAAAACTTTGTTTAATATGAGTCTTCAAGACTTCATTTAAGTAGCATGTCAGACCTTGGAATTTCTGGAACGTTCCGACAGGAAAACTGCATGAGATCCACAACCCACACCTTTAGCTGTAGTAAGTTATTTTATACTGAATCTGGAGTGATCATCACATATTGGCGCCAAGTTAAATATCACAAAGCTATTATACGATGCTGTGGGTTAACGTTTGTCATTTCCCCCCCCCCAAAAAAAATAAATCAAGTTAACATCAATGACCTTGACAAAATCAGCAGTGACAATAGCCAGCTCGGTCTGGGATCCAGGCAGCCAGATAGCCTTGATGATGAAGTTACCAGCTTCGAGTTGGGGATGGAGAACCAGGTGATCGGATACGGTCCCTGAGCTGGTGAAAGTCAAGACGTGGCAGTCCTGGTATGCATAAAAATCCATAATTGATAATCAATAATCAATGCAACAAAATCTGTGAACAGTTATCAGCGTATCAATAACTATCAATAACTAATAATAGAGACCTCCACATATCATTCTTTAGAATGATTTTTAAAAACAAAATTTAAATTTAAACAGGTTCTCCTGTAAATCCTGCAACTTGGCGAAATCTCACAAACCTTGAGGCCACAGACAGCAAGGAAATCCTCATTACTTGGGTTACCGGTGATGCTGAGTACAGTGAAGGGGACCGGAGCAGATGACAACCGCTGCGAGGAGAATGAAACAACACAATGGAACTCTCACCTTTCACACTTGTTATCAGAATATTCAAATTTCAAACAGGAGGAAACAATGGGAAACACAGAACTGCACCCTACAAAAATGGAACATTCTAGGGATCCCCTCAGAAGTTGAGTTTTACAAATATATCGATACTTGTAAACAATAGAAATATTCCCCTTCAGACACTCTTTTTAGATATTTGTTCAGAGCCAATTAATCTACTCATCATTATTCTATTTTTCCACTGGTACAATAGTTCAGATCATCACTAGACCAGCAAAAAACTTGCCGAGTCACCAGTTAATAGACTAACTGCTCACAAGGCTTTCCTTCATAATTCATCATTGCATCACCTGTGAATGGACTTATGCATGCCCTACGATTGGTCTTTTATCTGCTCTTGTGATGTTCCGACCACAACCCTGATTTCTTCAACCCCTGGGGTGGAAGAGAGGGTTGGTTGGGGTTTGAAATCTAAACCTGGATGAGAAAAAACGAAGCAGCTTACCGTCAGGGTCAGTTTTCTCTTGCTGGAGTCGGCCTGCTTCAGCAGCGCCGACAGCTGCAGCACGGTGATGCGGCCCTTCTCGTGGCAGACGGCCAGGTGTTGGCGCCGGCCCTGGGGAGAGGCCAGGCAGCACATGGCCACCCGCCGCAGCATGTGGGCCCCCAGCAGCTGACGGATAGTCTGGCCCTGGTCGCCGGAGAAGTTGGCCCGGACGTTCTCGAAGGCACCTTCCTGCGAGCCCAGGGTTGGCACCTGACGTCGAGACAGAATAGATGGGCATCTCGTAACACAAATTCAATTTCATCAGAGTACAGGCATCATCTAGCTTTGAAACAAAAACTGTCAAAGGTGTGACTGTGTACCGTCATAAGCACGGCAGGGACATCAATATTTCTATTGGTTTCCTGTTTTCCTTAGAAAACATGCTTAGCACACATATTTCACTCTTCTATGCTGAGCAGAAATCAGCTAAGGACAACTCAGAAGCAATACACAATCCATGAGGTTTTAGCTAGTAACCTGTAATTGCTAAGCACATTTTTTTCTGCTTTGCAAAATTTCCGTGCCTGGCACATTTCAGTAAAACTGGTCCCTGTACAGTGGACCGAAGCCATCTTTAATGCGAGTGGGTTGACTGGCACGTAAGTCCTTGTGTGAATGAATAAGGTATATGTGGGGCAAATGGTGAACACTTGGACCTGTCCGGGTCCAACACAGTTCCTGCTTCTCTGAAAACCAGTTTTAGGGAACGGTGGGGTGGGTTTATCATCACAAAATGGTAAGAAACTTTCAAGGACTCTGTAGCAAAACAAATCAGCTGAGAATATCAAAGCACTCACCATACGAGTAAAGTGAGTTTATTTTTTACCCATAGTTTTCCTTAACTAGACAAAAACATGAAAATAGCCAAAATAAGCACATAACTTTCACACGGATGAGTAAGAGAGTGAGCATGTGAGTGACTCACCATGAGTTGCTCAGTAGACTCAGTGGTCTTGTCCAGCATGTGCAGGTCTCTCAGGGCTTGTTGGGCCCTGGAGGTGGCCCCGACGGCTGAGGTCTGATTGCAGTGCTCCTCGATGGGACTCAGCAGGTACTGTAGCAACTCCATCACCGTGACCGCTGTGCTACCATTCTCCTGCATCGAGAAAGATACATGAATAGAAGGACAAAGAAAATTGAAGATAGGAACTCTTTCCAACTACTTTTACTTCAGATGTTTGAGCACGGGTCCTGTCCTGAGAAATGTGAAGTGCCATTCCAAAACCAGACTGGAGTCGGTAATTGTGATGTTTGACAATTCGTCCTTCCCACGATTACTTTTCAAAGTGGTTCATCTATAGCTTTTGTTGGTGGAAAACTTTTGTAGTTACCAGTCTATGAAAGTTGTGAAATATATTAGTGACGCTCTTACCAGAAGACTCAAAATAATGTCTTGGGAATGCATCAACTGCTTGGCCAGCATCTGGTGGAAACGGGTCAGTTCCTCTCCTGTCATCAGCGTCATCATCATCAGCGGCAATCCCCCTAGCCCTGCTTCCCCGAGGCCCAGCATGCCCCCTTGGGGACGGTCCGTCGGTGAGGGGGCGGTGGGCGTAGCCCCTCCCGGCTGCTGGTGTGACGACTGCGCCTGCTGGTGGTGGTGGTGACGACGCAGGGCGCCAACGGAAGCGCTGCGGGTTTTCTCGTCGGCGCCCGAGGGCACGGATGAGAACGGGGAGGTCATGGACGTGTTGGACATGCTGGAGTCAAGGTTGGAGCCCGGGGTGCGCTTGACTAGGGCCTAAGGGTTTAGGTAGACATCAACATTTTTCACCTCGGTGATTTTACATACACCTTCGGGGGTTAGGATTACTTTGTTAAATAGGTTGTAAAATTTCATGATTTCAAAACTGTCTACTATCACGAAAAAGAAATGCTACCATTTAATACTTGCAAAAACAAGTGAAAACTCATCAACTCAACATTCTCATTTTTGGGCACAAATGTTAACATCCTCCATTTAAATTCATCTAAAAGGCAAAAGCTACGTACAACGATACAAGTGAATCAACATTATACACTGTGACTTTGCTCTTTAAAGTGTATTTTATACAAAGTTGTGGGAAAACACAATGCTACTCAAAAAAGTAACAAAGTTTTGTTTTTCAATTCTCGAAAAAAATTTCCCCTTTGACTATTCAACTAAAGTTACAAAATACAAAAGCAACATTCTCAATCCACAACTGGTGGATCACATATTTCACTAATTCCACAACAACAAATTCTACACGTATGTAGATGCATCCACGGAGTACTAAGTTTCTATGAGCAAGAAATTTGTAACACACCTGGCATGAGCCGTCATCCTTGTCCCCACAATCGCAGAAGAACGATCCATACTTGGCGTAGGCGACCTCGTGCCCACGATGGCAGACGCGGGCGCACACCGTGCAGATACCCACACCATCTATCATCTTGCAAGTGTGACAGTGATACCTGACAGGAGGTAAAAAAATACATGATGCCGCTTGCACTTTGAATGTAATAGGCATAAAGTTTGAGCGATAACAGTTTCTCCATTATGTGTGAAATTTCCCAGGTAACCCGTGTACACAACATATCCTGGGTACCGGGCAAAATCAACCAGTGGTTGATGACTGGTTATTGCACGAACGTGCCCAAAGTTCTTGGCAGGGGAAGTTTTGTGAATAAGCAAAATTGTTACATTAGCAACTGCAAGCTCACTGAGGTGCATGTTTGAGCAATAATTCCTCAACCACAGGTGAAATTTCACTGGTAACCTGTGTACAAAACATATCCTGGGTACCGGACAAAATTGACCAGTGGTTGACGACTGTTGCTGCTGAAACTTGCCCAGAGTTCTCAGCAGGGGAAGTTATGTGAAAACCACATCCAACCCGGCACATTTTAGTGCCTGTTTTCACTTTTGAGCGGAGAGTGCATATTTTGGTAAAGTGGCTTGCTCAGGTACACAGGGCTCTGCGATTCCGACAGGCACAGGTTTCATGAAATGCTGAGACTCTGGGTACAAAAATGTTCGTCTTGCTACACAAGTGACCCCTCAATCAAGAAAGTGAAATGTCAAAATGCAGTGAACTAGTTTCATATGCAGAAACTCTTAACAAGTGACACTGACGTAGTTTATGAAACCAATGACACACTGTAACAATGGCTCTTGGTCCAACCATTCAAGTGCAAAATCTATTAAATTGGAAATGAAAAGGAAGGCTTTTGAATGACAAAGTCAGGCTCAACCTCGCAGACCCTTTTCTGTTGAAATTCCAAAAATCTAACCACATGAACTTGAGCCCTTCCCAAGTCCTCGGTATCGGGGCAGTGCCCTGCCCTTGTAAGCTCATACACAAGGCACGTATGTCTCGGCTTACCAGTGTTGGCTCATGAAGTCCCTCTGGGTGATGGTGTAGGTGCAAAGTTTGTTGCAGAGGGAGTCTTCGTCCTGCATGAGGGGAAAATGTTCCAGGAGGATAACATCATTAATATTCTGTCATAGCAATAATCAAATTTCAACTATACAGAAAATTGAGGGCTCGTTCAATCAGCCAATAGACCTCACTCATAAGGAAGCCAATTTTGGTTGTGTACCCAGAATCTATCACATTAATAGCATCTGTAAAACGAGGTGGTGCCAGACTATGTTCCGATCTACACCTCAACTTTTTAAAACTTTAGTTCACCTTTTTAAAAATTCTTCCTAAGTGTAAATAACATTAACTTGTCATGAAGTTTTATTTCAGTGCTTTCACTTTTATTCTCACGTGTCTTAACAAAAAGTTAAGCTCGCTTTCAATTCAAAATGGATGACTTGTGAATACGGCTAGTTGCTGAGATGCGAGAAGATGAAACATTTTGATTTTGGACTGTTACCGAATCTTCTCCTCCTGAGTCATCCTCTTCCAGCATCATGTCTTCGGCCCAGTCGGAATCTGCCTCCTGCGCGGCCGAGTCGACGTCGTAGGCCGGAGCCAAACTCCTGTTAGCAAATTAGCGCTGAGCAATTATTGTCACGAATAACACTTTGTCTTTAGCCGCAAGATAAGCCAATATGCCAATGATCAATTATAAACTCACGAAAAGCATAAGTAGGAAACTCACTTGTCACCGGATTGTTTGAGCGCTCCAAGTACGCTGGCGATGTAGGACAGTAGGTAGCAGGCGGCCTCCATCATGTGTTGGTGCTGTTAACAAACGATCACAGTAAAAATGAATGACAGAGTTTGAAAATGGTTTGGTAGGTCTCTTTCTGATAAGAGTACCTACCATGGTAGGAAATAAAAATGTGAAGTTGTCGGAAAAGTGTGAGTGTGTTCAAATGGAGAAAGAGTTGTCAGCACACTGCAATAAAACTTCACTTCTATGTCAATACAGGGCCAATCCATGCAAAGAGGCTTGCTCAGGGACACGGACCTCACAATTGGGATGCGATCATTTGCCAGAGTAACACCGGGTGCATACCTTTCCTTCTGCTGATTCAAGAGCTAGCTTTTCGGCAACGTTCTTGTGTGATAGATACTTCTTGCTGCAATGAAAAAATATTTCTCTGGTTACACAGAAATAAATATACAGGCAACCTCCGTCAAAGAGATGGTGAAAAAAGAACCAAATTTTGTGACCATGATGAAAGAGGTGACCTATCCTTGCCAAAGAACAGAGATTCTCGAGATCAGTTTCTTATTACATGAACAAAAATAGGAAATTAAACAATTACAAAAGTTCTGAGAAAGGTGCACTGCAGAGGGGATGGTTCAGACTCGAGTCAAATGTATACACTTTCGGTTGAATGTGCACAAACTTGTGGCACAACCACATGACAGAAGCACATCTGGGTATGCTAAAATAACAGAAATAATGCTGATGTAACTAGACTAGATTTCTGTGGGGAGCATTTGCAACAAAGAATCAGTAACACAGAGACTTTGAATACAGACCAGGTGACCAGCCACTCGTTTGCAGCCCTGAACAGCTCAATGTGGCCCACGCCTGACCCTGCTCCGGCCAGCATGACCATGACCGGCATCAGCTCCGAGAAGCCCAAACTGTCGCCCACGCCGGACAGCAGCTGGGTGCCCATGGGGATAAGGGCCTTTAGGAGGGCTGTGGCTACATCCTCTCCGACAAGACTAGGGAGGAAAGCAGAAACAAGCAAAATTTTGAAATGTTTCCGTCCTGTAATAGTCCAACTGAAATACCCCCTCGGTTTCACCCTTCTTTCCTCGTCTACAGTAGAAACCACACCCCTGGTGTCATATACTGTTGTAGTACTTTTCCGCCTCCCATAATCCCATAGCTCCACCCACCTTTATTTTTTGACACCACGATAGATCAGGCTCCACAACAGACCTCATCACTCCTGACAATTACATTTCTGTGCATGCCACCGAAGCCCAAGCCACCTCTTCTTGATATGATCCTCAGCTTTCCGGTAACACACACTGTGTCTATTTGTCGCCCTCTATAATCCCTGAGCCCCCACCCACATCCTCTCTTTTCGTGATGGAGGCTTTTGCAGTATGCCTCATTCTCCTTAAATCTCTACTGCCTCCTCTCACTTTGTCCAAAGCTCCACCCCCTTTGCCAATAACTGATACAGGAAGTCAGGCTCTACAAGACACAAGTTTTCTGCCATTTACCCATCTGACATAGCCTCACCTACCCCCTCGATTTGATGATATACACAAGACAAATTATTTCTGACGTCCCCCCAGAATAATTCCTTAGCTTCATCTAAGGCAGATAAGCCTTTTCATTAAAAACTATGTACTCCTAACTGTTGCCCTCCCCCAAGAATCCCCGTAGCCCTGCCCACCTCTTCTCCTTGACGATGTGGGAGGTCAGGCTCTGTAGCAGGACGCGGTGCTCTTGACCTTTGGCTCCTGGGTGGCTGTCCTGGATGATGCGGGCCAGCCAGCCCTGCAATGAGTCCGGGTCCACCAGGGAGAGACGGGTCAGTGAGGAGCACAGTCTGTCCAGGGATTTGTCGCCGGGTGTGTCCTCAGCTGTGTGAGACGTTGAGAGCGACAACACTTAACCATGCCATCAGATTTTTAAGAATGTACATCACATTTCAATAGTAGATCAAATTAAAACCTTATCAAAATGATCGACTTTGTCAAACTTTAAATTAACAAATAAGCCGCGTATTTCAGCCACTGAAAAAAAAACTGATTGAATTCCTGTACCAAATTGCAGGAGTCGGTTGAAGAACTTGAGGACTTTGATGCCGTACTCTGCAGATAGATGCTCATTGGCGGATGACAGCAACACCTGTACCAGATCTGGCAAAAAAAAAACAAATACAATGCTCATTGCAGGACATTTCTTGAGAAATATGGCAAAGTTGGGAAATTCCTGGAACAAAACCTATTGGAATCATTGCTATCCATCTTAGAAAAACAGGACGACTCCTAATCCAACTTTACACGAGCCTTGATGTCTCAAAGAATGGCTCTCTTTGGACGCTTCTTTTTGACAGGGTAGCATTAAGCCCAACCTTCAAAAATCCTTCAAAATCCACCAGGAGGTTTTAGAGGATTTTGTAGGATTGAGGAAGGTAGAGCCCAGCTGCTCTCACTTTATATGAGGCTTGATGCCCCTTGAAAGTTGAAGTAGAAAGACTGTGCCCTTTGTCTCCAGTAAAGCAGAGGATTTTGGAAGATTCAAGAAGGTTCCTAGATGGTCTTATATGGCCACGTAAAAAAAACAAAAATAAAAATAAAAAACGTGAAATCACGTCTTGATATTTTGTTGAGCATTCAAAAAAACACCTTTCACTATTTGACTGTATGACTCTTATATTCAAGTTAATACCTGATTCCTCCGTGTAGAAGACTTCTAGTGCCTTCTTGGCTGGGCCTTTCTCCAGCTCTGCCTCCAAGGTCTGGATGGCATCTCGGAAGACGGCCTCCTCCAATCCGCTAAAAAATCAGATCACAAAATGCTCAATCTTCTGAAGTGATTCTCTCGACTTGTTTAAGAAAAAAATCTGAAAAAAATAAAGGCTCTGGCAGTATTGGGTTTTGCATTGTTCATATCGTGACGAAAAGTTAGGGTTAGGGTAAATTTTGTTATACGAATTTGACCCAACTCAGACGTCTTGAATGGAGACTAGTCTGGCAATCAGAGATTTTGGTGGGACTTTTCACACAGCTCAGCTTTGACTCCACATCAGACTTTGTCTCTGGCCACAAAAACGGAAACCTAATCCTGGCTCCAAATCGTACAGTCCAATATCTTTGTGTTAAAAAAAATACCACAGTGGGGGGGGCACTAATTGAAGTCAAGAGCTGGTACTGACGCCGATACGTGCAAAATGGCCTATCGGTGCTAGAATATTGCTCAGTCTTTAGGTTTGTTTTACCTCTGTGGTGAGGCATGTTTTGTAATCAGCTCATGGCAAGCTGATATCAGGCATAAGTGAAGCTTGTGGACAAACTCCTCACTATCGCTACCTCCAAGTAGGCGCTCCACGGGTACGTAGGTCTGATGATGTAGACAAACGATATTATCAACAAATGGAAAACAGAACAGAAATAGTATCATAAACAGTGGGCGTTAATAACTACAAGTGATTGTCAACACTGTCAGTAAGTCCTTCAAAACTTCAGACCTGAGGGAAGTTTTGTAACTTTTTTTCTGAATCTTACATTTAGAATTTGGTATGCTCTGTTGGGTACGAGCAGTGTTCCCCCACATTAGGAATGGGCTGTTCCCAATTGAGAATGCACACCCGTGCAAAACTTTAACCCACGTGGGAATGCTAGACCTTGTACCCAGTTTGAAGGGTGATTTGTTCCCAGTTTTGGATTTTGGGAATGCCAAAATTAGGAAATGCTTGTATTGGTGATTCAAAATGGCATTTATTTCCTATTCAGAATGAGCAATGTTCAAGGTGGAAATTTTTAAGCTTTTCAAAATTTTACGACGATCTTCAAATCTGAACATAGGCTGTTGTGGCAGTGGCTCAAATAACACCTTCATAAATGGTAGCCGGTGGCTAGCGGCTGTAACCAGTTCCCATAGATACACGTGGTAGTCCTAGCCACAGCCATTTGATTTGAACACAGACTTGCCAGGCATCCACCTCAATCTGATGGGATCTAGAAACGGATGTCTGGTGCCCAGACTCTTACCAGTTCGGCAAAGCTCTCTGTGCTGGCATCCAGCAGGAGTGGAAATAGGACGTCCGCCAGTTCTTTCTTCCAGGGTTCTTGCAAGGCACTCACAACACTGCCCTCATCACACCACCTATCCAAGGCAAAAAATGATTATACAGAAAGTGAGCCTCTGGATTTCTAATAATTCTTTCTTAAACGAGCATCGAGCGCATCTGAATCAGTCGGCTGTGGCTTGATATGACACACAAGTCTATGAGAGCCAATGCTAGTTGATTCAAACTCTCCACAACCCCGGTATGCATTTCACTAAGCTGCTAAGCTTGGCCATCTGCTGGGTGCAGAAAATGTGCACTCGGCAAAATCTGGTTACCTGGCAAAACATCACAGTGTGTACTCCATTTATGACTGGTACTCTGCTGGTATCAGCTTAGCAGGTAACGGTGACATTAATCAGATTTCACTGCTAAGCACCCCTATGGCATTTTGGATAACTGTGTCATAAACAAGGGGCATAAGCACTCTGTTTCTTCTTCGAAGATGACTCACATGAGTTGGTCGGTGCATAACCTGACCATGGCTGTCATGACGTGTTTCAAAGGCAACGCAATGGAAAACACGGTCTGACCTGGAAAAAAAAGAGACAAAAATATAGGATATTTGGACTACAGTGAACTTTGATAGAGTCAAATCTTTGGGGCGAGGATAAAGTAAGTTGGGGTAACCAGGGGTTGGGTTAAGCAAGGTTTCTGGATTAGAGAAATATGGAAGGGCTGCGTAGCACCTTGATCAGAATATCGACAAGAATACAATATCAAATCAGTGCTCTGAAATATGTGATTGCCGAGCTTGCGATCAGACAGTACAGTACAGTTGCGGTGTTTCCATGGCAACCTGTGCCAGTCAGTCACAAAGACTTTTTTATCAGCACAAAGACCTTTTTTTTTAAAGTAGCTATGTAACAGAATTTTTTATGTCTTGAAAACATGAAGCATAGCTTTTTTGATATGTTACTGAGACTTTCCCACTCCTAGGTGGCAAAAAAGGAGAAATTTCAACATCATGGATTTTACGCAATTTCCAGAACAGCGGCCCTTGGCCTCAAGAAATGCGACCCTCCTTTGGTACCTTACAGCCGCTAAGGCCATACAGAGGTGATACAGCCAGTCCACATGTGTACAATATATCCGTAGACATATTGTTCGTTATATATAATATATTGTTCGTTCTTAATATTTTTCTCCCACTACTGGTGATGGGAATAAAATTTGCTTCTATACCTGCATGAATTAGAGTTTCTGAATGTTCTTTGAATGCCTGGAGTGTTTTGGTAATATTCCGATGAACATGAGAATCTGAAGTATTCCACTTTCAAGCCAACTGTTCACTGCAGTCTCTCTTAAGAGACACCAAACAACAATGGGGCTAGACGTGAACTTACAAGAGAGGGCGTTGAGATGCATGCCAAGTACCGAGTTCAGCTGGTTCTCGGAGGCTATCGCATGGCTGCTCCTCTGTGGAGTGAGGAAAAACAGTTTCAACATCGTGACGACTATAATGAAATACCTCCACTGACAGAAATGACACAGTGAGATACAGAGATCAATACTTTGCTGATTCCTAACGTATTAAATGTACAACGTATATAAAATGATTTTTATCCTAATTATTTTATATAGTTTATTGCAAAATGAAGAACGTCCTCAATTGGCTGTGTACAACGGCAATTAATAGCCTCATTACCCACAATCCTACATTAAATACAACCTTTATCCTAGAACAAGTATGTCTGGTACATAGTGACTAGTTATCTCACATAACGATGCGCTGCATATTTAATACCTCATGAAGTGTTGCATAGGTTTCATCTTTGCTACTGGGTATATATAGCGCCCTCAATTAATCATGAACAATGAGGATAAAGGATCTTGTAGAGAATTACATTAGTGCACCATGGTATTATAAAAGAATTGTTACAGTATCACATTATCAGCCTAATTAAATATAGTATCCTAAACAACTTGCACGTGACAGACTGCGAGTGGGTGTGTACCATTGTGGCAAAGCCCTTGGTCTCGCTGGCGCCATTGTTGGCATTCCACTTCTCCACGGCCGTGCGGACCGGCTGGGGCAGGCCGCTGATCTGGAGCAGGCCTGAGGCTGTGGGCAGCCACTTGGCGGCAAAGGAGGAGCTGACGCGGAGGACCACGCTGAATGCTGCCTGCGATTCAAAGGTGGTGGGCCCCGGGATCTGGTCCAGCAGGCAGGACCTGGATGACAAATGGACAGTCAACGACTAGCTGTTGAAATTGGGTGTTTGCCCGACATGTACATTGAAACATTGAGTTGGCCAGAACCCACGACCTCCTGTTTGCTAGTGCAGACGTCTTAGCACTCACCTTCTGAGATTGGCTGGCCAGTTGCTGCACCATGCTCTTGGAATACTTCAAAAGTACTTCACATATATCTCACAAGTACTTTACAAGGACCTCACAGAAACTACGCATGTGTTTCACTCGTACCCCACATGTACATTCACAAGTACGCTACACGTCGCTCGCCTGTTCTCTGCAAGTACTTGAGCCTTACATGCTCTTCTAAAGTACTTTACAAGTACTTTCGCTAACAGCAGAGAGGAAACGGTTAAAAACAAATGCCTTTGTTGCAGTTAATGTACAAATAGCTTATGGCTTTTGATCACCGGATATTAGTCAAATTGTTGTGAACTAATTGACTACGCTGACAGAGACAACTTTTTGATTAACAAAGCTGATTCACAACCTTCTCGTTAGGGAAGATTGAGCTTGCTTTTCCCGATACTTGGTGATCGCACGCTGGAAGAGGTTATATCTGGCTTCCTGTAGGACATCTAAGTCAATATTTTACTATTGCAAGTTCTTAGTCGAATTGCACGGAACGGATCCCATTTTCAGGAGGATTTGGTGCGCTTGCACATTCATAGTTTTTGAAGAGTCAGAGTGAGATTCTGTGCGTCCACACGTGTCACCATCTTGATTTTCCTCAGCTTGTTCACTTCAAGCGTGAGAACGAACGCCACAGTAAATCTTACATACTGCTACCAAGTTAAATCGCATTAGCGGCCTGCCGATCTGAAGCGTTTTCAATATTGAAAAGTTCCCTTTAATGCATCCACAAGAGCCAACATAGGACTTCAAATTGGTGAAAAGAATTGGATGTTTACCTTGCGAAGACTGTATACATTTTGAGTAGTTGAAAGAGGATGGGTCGAAGGTCGCTGGCTATCTCCAACACTTTGTACGTCTTGGCTGTCTCGTCGCCACTCTGTGGATGATGAACAAATCAAGGGAAGCAAAGGAATTGTCAGACATAAAACGTACAAAATGACTGAGCAATATAAAGACCTCCAAAGACGAGCAAACTTTGAAGATTTTTCAAAGAGCCAATTTATTCAAGGCAACAATGAAAGTACTTTTTGTATAAACAGCATAGACATGTGAAGACATATTCTAAAAATATAAGAAGGGTTTATATAGAATGCCTTCAGTTTGACTAATTTTTCTCAATGAAAACGTAATTTTTTTACCTTTTGGAGCAACTGTTCAAGTTAAGGAAGCAAGTCAAACCATTGTGAAGTTCTTTATGACACGTGCCAAGCCCAATTCAAAGCAATGGCTTGGCTCTCATCCTAAATTTCCCGGTGGGTTTTGAAGGAACTGGGAGTGTTTAGGGTTTGCTGGCAACTTACGATGGATCCGATGAAGTGATCTTTGAGGGAGGTTTCCACCTTGCTGAGGATGCAGTCCAGGAGGCAGATGGCATTGAGGCTGGGCAGGTGGGTTGGGATGACGATGTCATTGGCCATCACAAACAGTGGCATGTGGGACAGCTGAACATAAAAGAGAAAGAATTTAAATTCAGCGAGTGGCATCTGATTGGTCGAAGGTGTTCTGCTGTGCAACTACTGAGCAATCACTGCTCATAATGGGATATAATGAGTATATCTGAACGTGCGTTTAAGTGTTCAATTTCCTTGAGCCCCCTAGATGTAGGACCGTGGTTGGGGTTAGCGACAGGGGCGGGGTCAAAGATCAGGGTTGATTTATGTGGATGTTTCAACTACCTGCCCCAAGTCGGGCATAGTATCCTAGCAATGGAGGCTCCTTTGGTGGGAACTTCATTTAGCTGGTGCACAAACAACTATGAAATGCAAGCACTGAAATCTTATCGCTTCCAACAAAATGAACACTACCCACCACCATGGCTCTTTTCAACCGATGAAGGGGGTGCTTGTGCTCAAGGTATATACAATGATTTGGGCGAAGTTTGGAGGTGAGAGTAAAGGAAGTGTGGGCTAAAGACAGGTTCAGGCAAAGGTGCGAGGGCTGCACCTGCGTTGCGATGAGTTCCTGAGCTAGCTGGATGTCAAACTGCACCGTGCTGCAGTGCTGGGTGATGATGTCCAGTAAGCTCTCGGCTTCCGTTACCGGCAATCGCTGCTCCGACAGATGATCCTGAAACATGGAAGAGGGCGGAACGATTTTAGCCATGGACCTCACTGATCCTAATGATCCCTAACCAATCAAACTCCAACACTAGGGTTAGTTGGAATCTGTTAGGATGAGGAATTAACCCTAACACTCCTCAGTCCTCCAACAGGTGAAGGATTGAGGAGTGTTAGGGTTAAAGCAGAAATGAGTGCAAGGATATGGGGCTTAATCTGCATTATGACAATAAATGGAGGTTACATAATTACATATGGAAAACACAGATATGGTGTATATAAAAAGTAGACCTATCCATGCAAATTGCTTGCAATCAGTTTAACCACTTGCTGCCGGGGAACCCCGTTTCAAGCACCGTGACTTTATATGCAGAGCTGGGGTGTCCAAAATGGGGCAAAAGAGCTGGTTTGTGTAACAAAAGACCGTACTTGGAACAAAAGACCTGCTCCTGGGAATTGCCATCATTTTTCGGCTTGCATTTTTCGAAGGTAATCCGTCACTGTGTTTAGACCAGTATACCGCTGTTTTAGCCATAGTGCGCCCGCGGATGAGCACTGCGGACAAAAGTGCTCCAGGGCCCCATTGATGAGTGACACAGCACCGCTGCATGCTAATCCAGCCGCATTTGAAAAGACACCACTGGCATTCACTGGGGACAAAGGAAATTATGCAACACCTCACAATTCTGGGCTCTCGTTACAGAGCTGCAGGTCCGGCTGAAATACTCAGGAGTCAATGAAGGTTGCCTGTCAGCTTAGAGTAGCCACCAAATAGTCAATCGTGTGGGTGTAAACATCCATTAAATGAAATGATGAATTTTTGAAGAATTTTGAAAACTGAAAAGCTTGAAAATATCCCGTATGTGTGCACTGTATTTTTAAAAGCACCCGACAGCAAGTGGTAAAAAAAAATCTGTCAAATGTGACTAAAAGTAACATTTCCTCCCCTTAAAGAGAGACAAATCCACACTACCAACGGACCCATTCTATCAAACACTGAATTAACAGGGTAGCTAGGTAGACAAGTGTTGCTTGATAAATTCAAGTGCTCAGCAAAAATCAGCTGGAAATCCTCTGTACCTCCATTCAAATGAGGACAAGAAACAATTTTTTTTTACTTGGCCCGACATCCAAAAAGGTGAAAAGAACTTTAGCTCTAAGATTTGACAGAAGTGCAATTTGAATTTTTTTTGGGGGGGGTGCACAGGGGAGGGGAGGGCTTGGTCTATCTTACCCTGATCCAGACTCGGTATTTGTCATTGGCCATGCGGGGCACCCAGCGCAGCGTGTGCAGGATCTCGCTGGGCGTCAGGCTGCGCTCGCTGTCCGTGTGCTGCCCTTCCAGGAGCTTCATGTAGGCCACTGAGGGCGCCAGACTGCCCAGCAGCCGCCAGCTGACCACCGAGGTGTAGTGGATGGCACAGGCGTCCTGGAGAAGGTTCAGACAAATTGTCTGACAGAGTTCTGTCAAATCCCTGCCTGAATTTATCCCTGTATTACCTGTTATTATTCCATTTTTGTGGCATGGCTATGCTATTCATTTTAAGGAATGATTCGTGTCACGTGATTGAAATGCACCAATTAGAAGACAAATATTTATTCGGGTTTGTTTCAACACGAAGACTAATAACTCAAAATAGCTTCTGCAATAAATGCTTACAAGTTTCCAATTCAAATGGAAGAAAGTTATGTGAGCAGAAAATGGTCTCCTAAATAAGACAGACATTGAGCCATGCATGAGCCTTTCTCATAGAGCTGCTCAGCACAGAAACTTGCTTAGCAGAAAGAATCTTTGCTCATCAAAAAGTGGACACCAGCCAAAAAGTGATGGCATGTATATTGCTCGTGACCGGTGCTCTACCAAATTTTGCTAAGCAAGATTTGTGCCTTAGCATCTCTGTGGGTGACTCATCTTACCGTGTACTGGAGTGGTCTGTCCTGCTGTCTGGCGATGGTGTCGCACTCGCTTCCTGCCGCCAGCAACTCCACCAACGAGTGGTAGAGCTCACCGTAGTCAAAGCTGGCATCATAAAGCACTTCACAGGCCTGAACGAGAAATCAAAATACAAAAAACTGTTGGAAAATACCAGACCACTTGTTACAAAAGTGAAATTTGGTCTGTTAATGGCTGACTAATAATACACTGGCACCTTTCTTAGTTGCTAAGCTCAACTCTGATAAAAATCTGCTTAGAGTCTAACAGGGCTCTGTTGATGTCCACTAGTAAATTTTCTACATCACTTGATGAATGCATTGGGGAGTCTTGGTCACTATACATGTCTACGTAACCAGACTACATTCTGATTTCCTACACAGGGAGTAATGTTTTGAAATGAACTGCCCATTGTGAACCTAAGTACCAAATAAATGCTACCTCATATTTCTACTGCTATTTTTATTAGCAAATACTCATGCTGCGTATTTCCAATCTGATATCTACTACATGGAAGACTTGGTCAAGTCTAGCTTTTGTTCACCTGTAGGTCCAGCTGCGGCACCTCTTTGCCGTTGTCCATGTCGGAGGAGATGAGGTTGTAGAAGAGGCGCTTGAAGGTTGAACCTGTGTGGAAACCAAGCAGGCAAATTACTACTGCTCTACTGCGACATTACATGGGCACCTGAGCCATCAAACGCCAGTCTCAAGTCTCTTGGCATGCACTGTAGAGGGCGGTATGTCACACAATAGGAGTGAATATGGACTGGTCCCTTGTCCTGTCCATCATCAGCAAGATGGGAAGGAGTCAGGATTTATGATTGACCTTTTGGCTCCAGTGACCTGTGATTATCCCAATCACATTCATAATAACCACACCATGGAGGGTGATGTTTTTACAAGAGGAGCCCCATGGACTGGTCCCAGTTCCTGTACTGTATTCTTGGATTTGAAAGGAAGAGGCAGGAACCAGTACAAACACTAGATATCTTTCCCCCTCGGGTTTAATACATGCTCTATTTAAAGAAGTTCCAAAGTTACTGCTACAATATAATGCGTTATACTAGACCTTTTGGAGACTTCATTTGTGAGTTGCATTAAGGAGGAATGTTGGCTTACTGTCTGTCTCGACTGTGCCTGTCTCGCTTGTGGTGGCCTTGCGGTAGTTCTCCTCGACTTCCCGGCAGGGGTTGTAGAACTTGGTGGTGGCTATTCCACCCCGCTCCTCCTGGTACAGCATGAGGGCTGGATCGGTGCTCTGCACGGTGAAGATGTTCCACTGGACCTATTGGTACAAGGTGTTTCAAATGGATGCAGAGAGAAATCGAGACTGGTATTAATTGAGAGAGCGACTTTCTGAAAGCCTGTGAGGTGGCCACGTCAGCGTTGTCCTGGGGTGGAATCGAACCCAGGACCTCTTGCTTGAGAGTGCAGTGTCTGCCTTTCTAGTGCCGGCTACAAGGTGGCTGAATAAATCCAACAATTCACTTGAACTGCTGTCAATGACAGAATAACACAATTTCCTCAGGGCAAAGTTCTGACTGTAAGAGATGCTTACAACGTGACCACAGTTCAAGACGTAGTGGTGGAACTGGGGACCAGTTGGGGGGAGGGGGCACGTTTTCTGAAGAGGGGCACTAAATGAGTTCGATCACCGTGCAAGCAATGCAAAGCTCTCTGTCTCTACAAAATTTGTAGGAAATCAGGCGGAACAGAGGCCTTGAAGTTCATGGGAGCCATCATTTGTGCAGCTCATCCACACCGAGCCACATATTACCACGCTATCTAGCCAGGGCAGATATATGCCTGCAAGCCATTATGACTGCTTGGACATTTCAACTGTTCAGTGGTTCTTAGAGCAATCTGTGTGAAGAAAGCGCACCTGTTCAAAGAGGAAAGGTCTAGCCTGGGAGAAGTGGTGGACGAAGAACTCAAAGATGAGAAGCAGACGACATAAGGCGAGTGGGGACTTGGTCTTGATGTAGCTGCAATAGAAATGTACGTGACATTCAATTTCTCCTGACCAAACTTTTTTAATAATACTGCTAGGCCAAAAACTTTGGGAATCAAATCTGTTTCCATGTTCAAGATTCATGCATATGAGTGCACTGTTCTGACTCGCGCTAATCCAGTAATAACAACCTAGTTGTGTTTCATGTATTTTTTCTTGATTCAGGTTTCTGCTTTTGGTTTTAATGTTACCATAACTGACCTGTTGAAATTTTGCAGTAAATATTAAATATGCAGGTGGAAACTTTTCAATTTCAGGTATTTTGCACTTCGTAGTTTTTCCCTGCATCATTAAGCTGGCCCTTTTGGGTTTTTTTTTTTTTTTTTTTTAACTGTTCCGTGAAATGTCTCACAGATGTCTGACCACTGACAGATTTTCAACCTTTTGTCTCATATGGCTGCAGTTTCATGACACCATAGCTATTTATATCAGTGACCCTACCTTGACCTTGATACTTGGCACAGTGCCGAGGCTGTTTGGAGGAGGATGTCTTTTTTCTTCGTAGTCGGCAGGCTCTCAAAGATGAACATGAGCAGCTGGGCATGTTCCACATTCAGATCTGTGGAAGGTGACACAAGACCGTAAATTTGTTCAGTGTTTAAAATTGCAAAGAACAGATTTGGAGAAGACTGTTTGAAAGACAAGGGTATATAGACCATGATCAAGATGCTGCCATTTTTGTCTAGCCCCTGTGTACCAAATGACAAAAGTAATACAACTTCACCTATTGATAAATGGAAACAGACTATTTTGCCTTTCAGTCTCAGGCTGAATCTCTTGTCAAGAGCTAGGTCTAGGTCTTCACTCCATTAGAAATGCATGGAGACGCGTAGACAATAGACCTAGCCGTAGCTCTGGAAGCCCGTTTCGGACACGGCTTAAGTTTGGTTACACTGCTTTCAGTACAAGAAAAACAAGATGGCTGCCCTATGATAAAGCTCTGTCAGGCCAGGATTGATCTTCTGAATGAGGATGGAATGACACAACAGTCGACAAGAGTCAGCACTTACTAAAATGTGCAACCGTTTCGTTTGCTAAAAAGATAGCAACAACTCTCTCTGGCTATTCAGCAGACAGAGAACAAATTTTGAGGAAATTTTGCTGTCAAAACGTTGAAATCTGCAATAAAAAACAGTCAAACCTTCTAGTGGCTTTCTTGCTTGAAAATGACTAGCATATCCGCAGTTTTCATTTCACAGCCAAATTCCCTACAGAGCCTGTCACTGGCCAACAGAGCAAGAGGTTGATAAAAATGGACGAATTACAAAGAAATGCCTCTCCGTTCTCACCTTCAGATTCGGTCAGCGGTTCCCCTCTCATGGCCATGTCTCTCAGCGTCTCCAGGATCCGCTGCAGCACGTTGTAGCAGCCCGGCACGGCCGCCTCCTGCTGGCCCTTGGAGGGGGACCTCTGCTGCTGTTGCTGCTGTTGCAGCAGGACGTGGGCCAGGACCGCCAGCGTGCGGGGAGGGATGTTGAGGGACCAGGGACCCTTGGCGGTGGGGGAGACGCCCAGGTGGCTGAGGAGAGAATCCTGGAAGAAATAAAGAAATAGACATTTGGGGTTGAAATGGAAGGAAGACAAGAAATCCACTCTTCATCAAACAGACGGGTTGTAACAATAATGACAATTATGTATTTGAATATTTCAAACTTCAAATTTCAAATTACAAATGAGTTCATTTGTATGTCAATCCTTTTCTTTGTCTCTTGCTCAAAGAAACCAAACCTGATTGATCAAAAACATCTAAAGAATCTACAATCTTGGGGTCAAAAATCATGGAACTGACAATAGTAAAAAAAAAATCACAGCCAAAAAGCCAGATTTCATGGTTTCAGAAGAGTTTTGTCTCGTGAAGCCCTTGTTCTCCACTTGATAAACAGAAACAGGGAGTGATTTTTATCCTGTGTCAGTTACGCCAAGTATTCCCGATGAGCTTGGGTACCTGAAAGTTGCCTGGCAAAGTCTCAGAGGCCAGCAGGGTGTGGATGAAATGGAGCAGGGCGGCTGAGAAGTTATCCATCAAGACCGCTAGTGAACAAATAAAAAAAAATGATCAACTGTCATATCACAGACACCGTGGGAGACACAGCGGTGGTGCAACACTCGTGTACATGCTTAGGCGAGACGGGCAGGCATTTGGCAATTCATAGCACCCTATTGGAATCCAGTTGACACTTATCATGATGCCATGCTTGTCTTGTTCCTCGTATCCCCTTGGGCAATAGTAATACAACTTCACATACTGATAAAAGGGAACAGACTGTTTTTGCTTCCAGCCTCAGTTGGGTTGCATTGCTTTGAATGGTAGAAAACCAAGATGGCTACCCCATGGATAGAGGCCCTTACCACCAGCCCACGAGCGTTGTGCCGCCGCAAAAGAGACTTTTTATTCTGCTTGTGGAATTGCACTAAAGCAGTCAATTTCTCTAACGATCAGTTGTCCGTGGAACTTTGGCTTCTCTCACAAAAAATAACGGACGCGGCAGTCGAGCTTCTACAACGGGTGGTTTTCCCACAAGCTGACTGAGATGCTTACCGTCATCTGTCTTGACCGTTCCTTTGTCCAAGTCTTTGATGACACTGGCTATGCCAGCGATGTGGGTCTCTGTGAAGGCCAGACTGCAAAAACAACATGTGGAAGAGGGTGTAAAAATTTTTTGGCGTCACATCTTCCAAAAGCCGTCAGTCAGATTTCAATTGTCGGTGTCACTATTCTTGCGTCCATTTCAACCACCCTACGTTCTACTTCAGCTGCATTTGATTATTAAAAGAACCATTTCTGTCTAAAATTTTCTTGTTTAAGGTAAACCCGAGATACCGAGACCGAAATCTATCTTAGGAGTTTGATAAGTTAAATTGTGACATGGCCTTCATCAGTGGACAAACTTGGGTCGCTGTCAGTTGTTTCACCATTTGATTGGCCAAAGAGTCTGCATGTAAACGGGCTAAGCCCTGTCACTGGTTTGGATTAAGATGAAGTTGAGCAAGACAAGACTTTTCTCAAAGGAAGAAACACGACAAGGGAATGATGTGCGACTGTGACGATGGATGACTGTTTGTGATCTTACCTCGGGAAGTAATGGATCAGTCCATTACTGGAGTGGAGAAGGTGAACAGTCAGAAACTGCAAGACATCCGAGGCTAGCTTCAGGTACTGGTGGGAAAGAACGGAGGTGAACAAAGGGACCTTCTTTATTCACATATTGGGTCAAGTGCATGAACCGCAGAGGGCAATCTCTGGCAAACTCTCTTAAGTTGGAATTAACTGATTGTGGCGGTTATACATGTGTCTATGGGGAGTGGCTGCAGCCGCTAGCCACTAGCTTCCATAGCTGCGTGTGCTACATCTAGCCACAGCCATGACTTTCAGATGCAGAGCCTGAGCCAATACACCCCTAAACTTACAAAGTAGGGATCAAGACACAAATTGCCACAGAAAACGTGTTCAGGCCAGTCAGGTTTTAGAAATGTGGTGCCTCATGTGGATGATGTGATGGAGTTTCAGATGTCCGAACAGAAAAGGGCAAAATTAATGAAGGAAAATAAAGGACTTCAACAGTGATATTCCATAAACCTGACTGTTTCAAAATGTCAGTGTGGGTTCTGTGTACAGACAGGAAAATGAACCAAGCAATAATCTCCCTTCAATGCATTACATGCAACAGACCAATTGGTGTCACCCACCTAGTGTGGACATTCCTTTGTTTTCGTGTAGTTAAGAAATCTCGGCGAATATACTCATTTTCTTGAACTGTGAATACAATTTCGAGCAAGATTTTTGATGATTTCCACAACTGTTCTTCATTTTGCGAACAATAACCCAAACCCTAAAAGGCCTCTTAACCTGTTTTCAAGAGGGGGGAGGTAACCTTGTGTGGACCAGGCTTAGTCTACTCAAGCTTCATACAACCTGCATTGTGTGGACCTCTTTTGTTAACACGTCCACAGTAGGCTTGAGAGGTTTGTACTTGGTCGCTCCGTATTTCAACAAAGCGGGGTCATTAGAGAACAAAGCACGCACATGGGTCTGCATACGGCCAATAGGATAGACCTCGCATGCGTTTCATCTTTGGGCATGTGCTGTTGGCGTGCAGTGTGCACACCAGCTTTTTCATACATCACATCATTGGTGGGTACCGGGTACACACTGCCTTTGGTGTTCGCTACGATTGTTTCTCACCAGCGAGGACGCTCTTGCACACAAATCAGACAGACAAGCAAACAAGACAGACCAACCAACCTGCGAAGGCTCCTCCTTATCGGGTATCTCGGCCAGGCTGGGCGAGTCCTCCCTCTTCTCCGCCTCCTTCTTGGTCGCTGCCGCCGCCTCGGGCTTGGGCCCGCCTGGCACTGGGGGAGGAGTTCCTTGATTGTTAGGGGGCGTCTCTTTGGGGTCGGAGTCGGGGGTCAGGGTCTCCTCAAACCAGGGTCCCAGTATGGGCTCACTATCCTCGTCTAGATGGGGTGGGGTGGTTGGAAAGAAGTTGGTGAACGAAAAAACACAAACAAAATAACTCAACCAAATTAACCAAACGTGCAGATGAAAAACATGAACCAAAACATTTTTTCTTATAAAAGAAAACAAAAGAGTGCAAACAACTAAAATTACGACATGGATATGAAATGAATTTAATACAAACCAGTTGTCAAAATGCAAAAGAAAACTAAAACAGCTTTAAAAAAGAGCTCCATTCGAAAGAAAGCCGTGAAAGTAAACATTCTTCAATTGGATACCCATGTCTCGTAGCTTAATAAAGATGATACACGTATTAGCTTCAAAATGAATACATTGAAAACAAACTGCTTCATGGTTGGTAAATTAATAAATGAAATATGTTATCAAAACTGATGATGGTTAAAAAAAATTGGGATAGCAATGATTTTGGGCAACTGGGGACTGGGAATCGTATTTATTGGGATAGTGAATCCTTTCAACTGAGGGAAATTTGAGTTGTCAACTTGGAGTTGTAACAATAAATTGTCATGATGTGGGATTGCAGCTAATCTCTATTCAAATTAAGAGCCAGCTCCATAGGTTGGACTCAGAGTGTACGTTCGAGTGAGCTACTCGCTTTAACACGAGTATACTCCTGAGCGCTCGAACGGCTGGAGTGAGACCCGAGGGTCAATGAGAGTATACTTTCGCTAAAGGGGGAGTCTACTCCTGTTCCCGAGTGTAATGCTCATGCATCCTACTCATGTTAACAGGAGCAACCTCGCAAACGCACCCAGAATGTTCCAGTTTTCAACTCAATGGCCAAACTTCCTGAAAACGCTGCACTCCAATCCTTTTGCTGTTGACACGAGGAATAACATGGGCAAAGATGCATTTCACTGAAAAAAAATGCTTTTTGCTGAAAAAAAAAATTTAGAAAATAAGACAGCTAAGTCCTCGTCGGCTTGCCTAACATGAATACAGCTTTTTAAAATCTACACAACAGATTGGTTTTTGTACTTTGCCAAGGAAAGAACCAAGATTTGTGCTTCCAGTGACTGGCAGCCGTGATATCTGCATGGCAAAGCATTCCTATTGCTGCGAGATATCTTGCTCATGGACAAACCCAATGCAATTAGTTTTGCTCAGGCCTAGCATTTTTCTTTTTTTTTGGTTTTTACCTTCGCTGCTTTCTTCCGAGCTGCCAAATTCGTCGCCATAGTTTGTATTGAGGGAGTTGCTCTCGGTGTCGGCCCCTTCTGAGGCTAGGGAGTTCTTCCGCTGTCTGACTGTGATACATGCCTTGGAAATGGAGCAGAAATAGGACTTAAGTTTGTGGGAAAAAAGTTTTTATTTTTGTCCTCTCTCTCTAAGATTTCTTCATCTGCTTGTGTTTCTCCAGGGTTTTTTGTTCACTTTTAAGGAATCCTCGCTTTCACAACTGGGAAGAATTAACTAAAATACTTTTCAAACCTACTTCCAGATGTTAGCATTGACATTAATTCTGACCCTATCTTATACTTTCACAGATTTTTAGAGAGTATATTCTAATTGCTTTACTTTATAAAAGGTCTTGATAACCATTGAAAATTCAGGTACACAGAATGGTTCCTGCACTATAATGGAGTTATGGAGAACTCTGGGATTTATCTCGGGAGGGGGTAGAGCAGTGTTGTAGTCAAGACCACTTACGACCTTCACAAGACCACACAAGACCGCCGCAAGACGGACGGTCGCAACACTGGGGCACAGGTTACCAGACATATTGAGAAGCATTCCTGAGTACCGACCTTCTTGTAGGATGACGTGAAGAGGTTGATGAGCAAGTTGGTGAGGGGTATGTTGCCGATGATGCAGCAGACTCGCTGCCAGGCTGTGTACTGCGGCAGGATGCTCAGCCGAGCTGGGGCCGAGTCACTGGTGTTGATCTTCTGCTCGAGAACAGAGATTGGGCGATTGGGGATGGTGTAAATGTTATTCAATCTGTAGCCCTTGCAACTCATACCAGGCAACCAATGCTGGCAAGTGTAGGGGTCACTTGGTTAAGGACAACTTGACTGATATTGGGAGGTGGTGGGTTCGAATCCCATCCGAGTGAACTGATAGAGTTTTTCCCAAGAATGCTCAGACTGCACTGAACATCCCAGCATTCCATGTTCACAGAAATACATTGTTGAAAGGTGAGTCTCTTTCATCAAAGTTATGTGACACCGTTCATTTTGTGGTAAGCAAAGTTCTATGGAAGCACTTGTAGAGCTTTATAATGCATGGCCAGTGAAGGTGCCCGAAGTGTTACTGCTGTGCAAAGATTGCAGACTAAAAAGTGTCTGCAAGAGCAAAGGCTGCCGAAACTCTCTTCTGGAAAGTAATCAAGGAATTGTGCCAGATATGCAGAATATGGGATGGTATTTTAGCCTCGCGATGCTGGTCGGAGGGAGTTTTTAGGCTAATGACTCAATTCTTGGGCCAACCTACCGTGGACAGGCCCTCGATGTGGAGGTCCTCTAGTAAGGCAGTCAGGAGAGACAGGGCACAAGATGACAGGGCTACTGTCAGGCTGCTGATGTTCTGAGTTCTGCCGAGGACAAGAAATCCCATGACCCTGATCATGAAGTGAACGACTATAAGCAAGCCGTCTTAACTCCACAAAGTCTACAGTTTCCCCACTGCTGTGGTACAAGCATTTGCGTGTCGCATGCCCAAAATATCATTCAAAAGGCAAGAACCTCGGCTCCCCTGGTGCATCATAAGAGCTGCTACAATTCAAAGAATGCAACAGTTGCTGGATTAAGTTCCACCTGGGAATTTTTAGATGATGCACAGCTCTCGAAATTGGCAGCTGCCTGCTAAAGTTGGCAATGCTTGGAACACTGCTCGTTCCTTAAGGAAAAGGACCCAACCTGTGAGACTCTAAGCCCAACTCCCCAAGGTACAAGAACAATTCTACTGAGATTGGAGCTTGAGCACTGTAACAGACAGGTCACAACGAATGAAGATATTTTGTAATCCTTTTTGCATACCTTAACTACGAGACAAACAAGGTGGTCGGAAAAACTAAAAAGACGTCTTACGCTTTTGCCGAGCCTGGTCTTCCCGCGGCTGTTGCGGCGCCCTCTTTAGCTTTCCCCAGGCCAGGTTTTGCCTCACCCTTCTGGCTGCCGGGGATGTCCTTCTCCTTCTCCTTGGGCTTCTCGGGGAGGACCGAGGAGGCATTGAGATGGAGGATGCGGTCCAGGTCTCGCAGGATACACCAGGCCCCAAGCATGTGCAGGTTCTGCAAGTTCTGTGGGAGATTTTTATTGGATGATGACAAAGAACAGTAGCAGATTAGTGCATATAGAAGTGAAGTAATTGGCTTCCTTGACTGTACAATTGGCCCCTGAACATGATTAATCAATGTTGCAAGGACAAAAGGAAAAAAAAAACTGAATGGTTACAAGGCCTCAACAAGTGGCCCTGGAACATGATTTACCAATGACAAAGTAAAAAAAGACATTCCTCTGGTGAGCGTAAAATGTAAGAGCTCGCTACGCCGAAGGCCAATGAAAACGCACCACCTTTCGAGTCCAGGTTGTTTTACCCAATAGCACTGCAACAATGTGGCCTGACCAACATCAAGAGAAAGAATAATCACTGATGCATGATGGGAGTGGAATGCCATGTGCCCGGTTCATCCTCTCACTACAAACTCCAAACACAGAAGAGTTGAGTTTTACAAGTGCAATTTTCAGGATAATTTATTGGTGCATTTTCAATGTCCCTCATGTACTTTTCGCTGCAATCTGTACAAAAACGGAGGTGTAATAAATCTGTTTTGTAAGTAGGTAGTCGTTGGAGATTTGCTCATCAATGATAGATATCATTACTGGCTTGATCTGGGACTGGCAATCTTAGCACATTAACCCTCCTATGCTGAAGTCACTCTTTGGGTCATTTGGTAAACACCTCAAAGAAGCACAGCCGTGTCGTGTTGTGCGCTGCACCAACAGACCCTCACAGGAATATCAGATGGCACTTTCATGCTGCCCAACAACTGTGCTTCACTGTTTCATGTGCATAATTGTGCAGTAAACCAAATGCAGTGAAGAGGACTGCACAAAAGACCCTGGGTCATTTTGTGCTGGCAACCAACTGTGTACACACTGAACCTGTGAATGTTTGAGTTCCATATAGAAACTACATGGTCACCAGTGACTGTGGGCATTTGTGCACATTTGTGCTGTAAAACCAAAGGGGGTTAATGAAACTGGGTCAGAAACATGATTGGACAGTCATGCAAGGAACAGCAAAGATGTCTTACGTGTCCGCCGGCTCTTGTGGACTGCTGGACAGCATTCTGTAAGACCTTGAAAAGACTCAGCTACAAAAAGAAAAAAGCAAATTTACCCCGTAACTTTTGAGAGGTATTTACAGCATCTGGGAGGGTTAGGGGACATCAAAGAAAGTCAAATGCTAAAGAATATTCCAATGAAAAAACTGCTTATGCTAGTTGGGAACATCTGACGTCCCTTCTAGGAACAACACGTTTTCCAATCGGGAACATCACATGTTCCCCAGTGAGAATGACGTGTGTTCCCAAATGGGCACATGTTCCCAAATGGATACAACACAGATTCTCAAATGGGCACAACACATGTTCCCAAATGAGAACACTTGTCAATGCCTTAGCAGGCTGAACTCAGGAAACGGCTCGTTCTCACTAGGAACACGCCAAATTCTTAAAAGGAACTCTAAAAGTTCTGTACAAGAATGTTAAAGCGGGAACAGGAACATTTCTTTTTTCGAGATGTTAAATCCAGAGATTTCCACCTACCCCCTTCTGTACAATGAGTGAGGCTATGTTCTCCTGCTCCTCGTCTTTGGCTACAGCAGCTGGAGTGGACACCATCAGACCACTGCGGGCCGGCTGACCACTGGACAGGGCAAGCAGTGTGCTGGTGGTGGTGGCCGAGACGGCTGCAAACAGGCAGCTCATGACCACGGTGGTCAGCTTCTCCATGTGGTCTGGGGTCATGGGTTCGAGGGTCGGCAGGGCTAGGACGCGCGACACGATCGTCATGTCGTTCAGGAGTGAGGGAAAGCTGGAGAAAGAGTGAAACGAAACGTTAATACGTAATTACCGCGCATAGGAAATATTGATGTGAGACCTCTGAATGGAACACTGGTTCCTGTCTCCTCCTTTGAAGGTGAGTATATAGTGGAGGGATTAGGTACTAGTCTAAGCTGTGACTAAATCAACTGGCTGTGGCTTGAGTAACATGCGTATCAATGGGAGGTAGCTGCAGCCACTAGCCAGTGGCTTCCATGTGTTTGCTATTTCCAGCCATAGCCATAGCTTTTAGACAAAGGCCTACTTACACTCTGGATACGCCTTGTCCAGAAGGGGCCAGCAGAGCTAGGGCTATGCATTTTGTCAGCATGTGCTTTTGTATTTTCAACAGGCAAAAACTTAGCCCTAGCTCTAGGCAGATTATTTCAGATGTTGGCAAAATTTCCCAAGAATGCGCACAAAAGTGCCAGGCTGTAGAAGAATCCACTCACCTAGCTTTCATGGAGGAGGCGTCAGCTGCTGTGCTGGGCAGCACAAAAAGGAGGCCGTTAGCTGCGTCGCGGAAAGCATTGATGTAGCGCTGCAAGAACGGCAGATTGAGGCAAACGTCCAGGAGGATGTCGGCGCCATGCAGCGCGTGAAGGTTATCAATGTTCCGGGCGGCAAAGTATGCCTGCATGTCACTGCTGGGGTCAGTCTTGGTCGGAGTTGACTTGTCTTCCAACTGTTTTTGTAAGACAAAAAGAGGAAAGAGATTGCAGTATCTAAAGGACATAAGTGGAATTTAAAGTTTAAGAATTCAAGGCCCCTGAATTAAAGTTAAGCTCTTAAACTCACTCACAAGTCTGAGTCAAGCATTTCATTTAACCTTATTACTCATTAACATTAGATTACTAAATTAAACTCATTAATCTGAGTTAAAGCTAATTAAGCTAACAAGCCATAGTTAAGCAATTTCACTTACCTCAGTTACACATTTAAATTCATAAACCAGAGCTAAACATTTCTATAGTAATTTTCTTCAACCCTAGTTAAGCGATAGACTCATCAAACCCAAGCAAAACATGAACAATTACCCTCATTACTGGAGTTAAGCATGGCGAAAGAATCCTGCAAATCTAACCTTTTCTGTCTTCAGGGAAGTGCAAGAGCTGTAGTGCGGTGTTGACTCACTAAAAGCTGACATCAACTGCTTGAGGAAATCCGCTTGTGATATCGGGCGGGTGTCGCTGATTTTCACCAGTGTAGTTGACGTTGTGCCTTCTGACTCTGAGTAGTGAGCAGAAGGAAAACACTGGTCTAAACTCAGGTCTTAAATTATCTGGATAAACCCTTGCCCTCCCCTGATCTTTCAAAATCCAATCGCAGGTTTGGAAGGATTTTTAAGGATACACGAAACCAAAATCCTGCACACTGGAAGATGTTTAAGATTAATGTTGGTAAAGTAGTAAAAAAATGAAAAGAAAATTTAGGTCAAAGTCTTCAGTTGGCAGGTCTACTTCTCAAAATTGTTGACGATGTTTGTAACTTCATCGGATATTAGCACTGAACAAGTTTCAGCATGAACAAGTCTCTTGATAATGAGAAGCAGCCAGGAGTTTGATATATCCTCCTTGGTAATCACCCTGGTGGTGAATGCAGGAGGAATTTCTACCAAACAGTTATCTACCTGGTTCTTCTGTAGGGGTTGTTGAAGGCGGAAGTTGGGCGGCTTTCAACATGGCTGTCAACGTGACGATGTTTGACCGTTGGAGCTGCCCGGTGCCTGTGCAGAGACCCTCAACCAGTGACATCAGGTTCCGCTAAACGAACAAAAAAAATCAAATTATTTCCAGAGAAGCTGCTAACATTACTGGTGCATCAGTTCCACACTCCTACTGTTACTAATGTTTGAATGTTGAATCGATGCTAAGTATGCTGAGTTATTGGACCAATGTGTGACCAGTTCCCCAAATGAGTCCTAAGGCCATTTTTCCAGTGATTCAGTTTTAGTCTTCATTAGGAATAACAATCTGAGCTTTTCACGTCCTGATGACAACCGACATCACGTGAGTAAAAAGAGTTGAAGATTTCCAATGATTTCGGTTGTGCAAGATTTCTTCAAAGGTCTTCAACTAAAAAACAAGCTCTGGCAAATTGCGACTCATTTTGTTAGGTTGGGTCGCATATAAGCCTTTTATAAGCGACAGAACTTTTCAGTTCTTTGCCTTGGGCTCTCCAGATGTTTAACCCTAACTGCCCAAAACCTGCCATACTCCAACAGCAGGTTTTGTGAGGTTTTGGCAGGTTTGGTACCGTACCCGAGGAACTTCTTGTTGAATTTTGTGAGACTTGGGATGAAAGGCCCAGGGAGATGGTGTTGGATTCTGTGTGAGTTGGGACACACACGGGTCACTGTGTGCAGTGTCTGGCTTGCTGTACCAATTGTTGATTTTGCTTGATTTTGTCAGGTTTGGTACTGTTCAGTGCAAGTCATCCTTTAACGAATAGACCTATCCATACCACATCATTCAAACTCCAAGGGGCTCATTCTGTTGGAGTTTATCAGGTTTGGTACACTAACCTGCATGTACAAGAACATAGACAAGTACATGAACCTGTTGGATTTTGTGAGGTTCAGTATGCTTTCTAGTGCAGGAGCCTAGGGGGTTAGGGTTAATTAATTTTGAAAGAAACAGGAAATACATTGGCAGTTTTTGGCTCAGAACTTCAGTTCTCCCGGTATACTTTGTTCTGGATCTGTGCACATTCTTCAGGGGTTTAAACCACTCTAATTTTCACACCCCTTTCACTAATTAGCCAAATCCTTCCTCCTGCAGCCCCAATGGGTTTCTGGGCTACCTGTGAGACTGAGCACGCCAGCTTGTACTTGAGCATCCGCTGCAGGCACAGGTCCATGAGTGTGTGACAGGACGAGACCACGCGGCCGACAATGGACTTGGATACTGGGTTGTTTAAAAAAGAAAAAAAAAACACGTAGAAAGCTGAAATTAACATGTATTTTGGGTCCAAAATTGGGCAGAAAATTATGAAATTTGAGAAAAGTGCAGCAGCAGGGGCTAGGAAGACAAATACAAGGTAAAAATCGAAAGTTAAAAGTTCACCTGTTGTTACTACAGGCCTCACCCAGAAAGCATATGAAATGCATTATGAGAATCAACAATTTGGGTACGAAAAGAATTTATATCAAGAAGTCTTGCTCAGAAATTATTTGGTACAAATGGAAAAGATGAAATATAAGACAGATGCCATCTGAACAAAAAGATAAAACACAATTTTCGGAATAATCTTGTCGTTCAATACTTAAGATAACAAAATTAAGGGTTCCAATAAAAAAATTTAAATTTGGTGACTTCAAGTTAGGCCTAACAGAAAAGCCCAGGGCCTAACCTGTTTTTCAAGGGCTGTTTGGGACTTAGCCTAGGCTACATTGAATCTGCAAAGAGAGACTGTGAGGTGACAAGCAATTTAGGCTCTAACGGCCTCCACTCAAAAACCTGAAATAAACAAAATGCATTTTAACTTTTTTCTTCAACAACAAATTCTAAAGTCGATGAAATAAATTAACTTGACTATTTTTGACTTACACAATGTTGAATGCTCTGTGATGTAGTGGGCAGACAGGGCCACAAAACAGGAATAAAAGTTTTCATATTTATCATCATGATTCAGGATGTCGTCACCACTGCAGAAATAGAAGAACAAAGCATATATTACATTAAAACACCAGTGAACATGGTGAATCTTAGGCTGAGTTCGGGCGGCTTGTTCCCGTATGCTCACGAACAGTTCGATTTGTTGTTCGTGGGTCAGCCGCTTGAACGCCGGGTAGAAACAAACGACATGCAACATGGCAGCGTCCATGTACGTTACTTGAGAGTTAAGGTTTGGATGGGTTGAATTCTTTTCTATATAAACAGGAACATTCATGTCTGTGTTTGGGAAAATAATTAATGTTAATGTTGCAAAACTTTCCATTGTCTACATGGTCTATGGCTTTGGAAGCCACCTCTCCACTTTTTGCAGCTATTCAAAAATCAAAATCTCATAAGTTTTTCCGTGTGTTCCTGTAAAACCCTGATGGGGAGGTGGTGTGTGATCCTGTTCCGAGAACAGTGTTCTTGAGTCGTGTTCCCGCCATTCGAGCGCGAGAACAAGAAACCCGTGTCAAGAACAGACCGCTCGATCTTAGTCTCGGCCATGTTGGGTGTTTTTCCTGAGCTGAGCGCACAGCATTCGAAACGCACGCATGGATTCGTTATGCGGCACGAGACAAGTCCAACTTATTCTTTAAAGTTTGCAGTGTTTTAGCCTGCATTCACAACCAATATAAGCGAACATACCTCTCTATAATTGCATCTACAAGCAGAGATACATCTCCGCTTCTAAAACCTGATTGCGAAGCAGAAACAAGGCATTTTTGGACGGCGATCCAGTCCACTCCGGGACCCCCGGATGTCGCCATCTTGGTGACTTTCGTCTTTTCAAGGGCTAAGAGCGCCCTCCATTGATGGCTATATTTCTTATCATTCTTGTCATTAATTTACTGTATTTATTAATAGGACTTGTTTTGTCATTTTGTGCCTTATTTTATTTTCAGTCTTGGATGAAATAAAGGAACAATCAATATTAAAGGATTTTTATCTTTATTTTTTATTATTCAATTAAAAGTTTCAGTACATAGTACGAGACTAGAAATTGACCTCTGCTCTATGCTTCATCTGCATAAATACTAATTTTGCTGACGGGGAGGAGAACATCAATTTCTCTACAGAACTGTATTTTCCTCGGCCCTGCAAGAGTTAAATAAGATAACAAAATGATTCATAGCTTATTTATGATTAATAATTCTGGGTAAGTTGTATTCTTCCTTTTGGAATGATTCAGATCACACTTTATTACCGACCAAAAATACTGCAGAATGTGGTTGTGATTGAATGTGTATAACGTTATGCCTAACTTATCTAGGCCTACCACCTACTGTACGTCTGCTGTACGTACGTGGCCAGTGCAGTGGTGGCGAGGGATCCCGTGGCCAGTGGTGGTGTTGACATGGCATGGGATATACATAGACCGGGGCCCGGGCATGATATTGTCATAGCCTGCGCCTAGGCATTTGTCTGTTTTATATATTTTTGGGTATAAGAGCTACTTCCTCAACTCAAGCCTAGCATTGTAGCAAAATAGCAGGATTAGATCACAATGTTTATGCTTCAAAATCATGTTCATGCGCTCAAAATGCCAGCCATATCTGCATATAATCATAGTCTAGTGCAAACATTTGTACCAAAATACAGTGAACATGATCATGAAGTAAACAACCCATGGCATGAGTGTTTGATGCACATTATAGCATATGAATACTCAGTGTGCCATCTTGATCATCACAGCCTAAAGGCCTTGCTTTGTTGTTGGTCATGTTATTTACTGTCAACAAGCGTCAACACATACAAGTAGCTTCAACAAAGTGTCAACAACATGAAAATACCCTCTGCAGATTTAAAATTGGTTTTATCATATTGTTGAGAAGGTAACTTCTGCGACTGTGTAAGGGAAACCAAAAATTGCTTCCGGATTCTCGCAGGAAAACACAAAATTTTTGTGCTGTATAGGAGCCACCACACCATCCATGCAAAAACAAAGATGGCGACCAGTCGGGCAGCACAAACAGGCCCGAAATTTCAGATAGATAAGATACATTGAATTTGATATGTAGGGACCGAACTAATATTATAAATTAAAAAAACCTTGCATAAGTATGTTTGAATATCTTTCTGACGCTTTGTTGATGCTAAATAGCATGACCCTGCGTTGTTTATGTTATGTCCCATCTATAGCATCATTCCCAACTATAGCATCAGTCCCAACTATAGCATCAGTCCCAACTATAGCATCTGTCCCAACTATACCATCAGTCCCCACTATAGCATCAGTCCCAACTATAGCATCAGTCCCCACTCTAGCATCAGTCTCAACTATAGCATCAGTCTCAACTATAGCATCAGTCCCAACTATAGCATCAGTCCCAACTATAGCATCAGTCCCAACTATAGCATCAGTCTCAACTATAGCATCAGTCTCAACTATAGCATCAGTCCCAACTGTAGCATCAGTCCCAACTATAGTGCTGCAGTTGGGTTGACCTAACTATTGGTGGCTAATCTCTGTAGAAAATTTCCCAACCTTCTCCAACTTTATGCAGTTCACTCCTGACATAATTCATCTAATTTATGGCACTGAAGCTGTAGGAAAACTTTTTCTAAAAGCACATATTGATGGTGTAAACAAGATGCATATGTTATGATGCACACACTGAACTTCTGTCAGTTTGTGCTACAGTTGGGCTGGCCAATAGTAACTATAGGGCCAGTCCGAACTGTAGTTGGGACAGTTCCAATAGTTGGGACTAATGCTATAGTTGGGGTGTCTACCTATTAAAGTCATGTAAGTTACACTTTCTAGTATGCCCTTTTCCGTCCTGTATCAATGTCTAAAGGTCACATTGCCTTCTCTTGTAATGTGCACTTGTAATGTTATGTTTCTTTCAACATGAATTCCAGGGATGTTTTTATGGAGAAACACTGGAAAAGTGTCATTGGCCGTTCAGTGTGTGACTACTTCTTTGAAGCCCAGAACAAGGTAAGGGCCGGTGACCATTTAGACCCGGTTTGAAAAGGGCTGCCCGGTAGCCTGCCCTGTATAATGCCTGCCCGGTATTCAGGCTACTCCAGGCCGGTATCAGGCCTGTCTGCACATCGGCATTTCAAAGTCCCTGATGGAAGGCTTCCCCCACCATGCTTCCACAGATGAATAGGGGTCTAAGCGGATTAGTGTAAACAATGTATAGAGCTGAAGGATTAAAAACCACAAGCAGGTTCCTTCTGGGATAGATTACATGTACCAATACTTGCAAACAATAGACCCCAGGATGGAGAAGTTCGAGGTCAACAACCAGTCCAGCATCCCAGGCCGGTGGCCAGGCCGGTAGCCAGGCCGGTAGCCAGGCCGGTAGCCAGGCCGGTAGCCAGGCCGGTAGCCATGCCGGTATGAAAGGGGTTTTTGCAACAGGGCGAGCTTACGGGGGGGCCTTTTCAAACCAGGTCTAAATGGTCACCGGCCCTAACGGCAAACACACAAAAATTGCAACCAAAATTTTCTCCTCAATGTACAGAGTTTGCATAATCATATGGCCTCATGGTATTTACAAAATTTCTGTACCACTTAGAATGGTCAAAATGTGAAGAGATTTGAACCACAATAGTGTGAATGTTAATACAATTTTTTCCAGTCAAATTTTTGATCAATATCTCAATAAGACTTTAACAAATACTCATACTAGGCCTAAGTACAATAATAGAGAAAAAAGTTGAAATTTGAATAAACATAAATGAGGCCATTATAGCGTAGATTTTAAATAGTTACCTTAGATGGAATGCATGTTATCTGAACTTCCTGTCTAATAAGGTTTGATTTGGTTGTGTCTAAATCTATGCAGGTCAGTTGCCATGACGATGTTCCAGCCGTGATCCCCACCCCACATCACTATCTCATTAGTATCTACAGAAATCAACTCTTCTTCGTCGCTGTGGTGCAGAACGAAGGTGAGCATCACGTTCAACTTGGGAAGAGTTCCGTATACGGAAGCCAGTAGTTATTCCCTACTGTTACCTTTTAGCTGTCAGAAAGCAAAAACATGTCCAGAAAAGTTCAATTTAGGTGGGAAAAAACCAAGTCGTTTACTTAGAAAACACTTAGAATGTTTCAGACCAGTTTCCTAAGGTCTGTGCGCAAGGTGTCAAGCGGTGTCCGTATATGGAACTCTTCCATCAACTATCATGCTGATGCGTCTGCCTAGAATGGCCTAGAATGTCTTAGCTCAATCTGTCCATTTGTTTTGCCACAGTTCTCTGTCCTTTTTTTTGATTTGGGACCCCAATGTGATGCCAGAAGTGAGTTAACCATCGATAGTGTCTTGTGCCAAGAACTTCACCTTATGCAATGAAATGTTCACAATACTGTGAAGTGCTTAGTGTCAGATTTCATGTCACATGTATATGACCTGAAAACCGCACTCCTCTGTCCAATCATCGCTCATATGCAAACATTAATTCTGGACAAAGTTGTTTTCTCAGTTAAAATCAGTCAAGTAACTTTGTAGCTGTTCAGAGTCCCTGGCTCTGTAGAGCAGAATCGATTGGCTGTGACCGTTAACGTGACTAACTTGATAAAGCTGTGTGCTGACTGTTGATGACGGATAAGCCAGCTTTGTATACCAGTTGCCTGCTTTTGTCTGTTAANGACCATTTAGCTGTCAGAAAGCAAAAACATGTCCAGAAAAGTTCAATTTAGGTGGGAAAAAACCAAGTCGTTTACTTAGAAAACACTTAGAATGTTTCAAACCAGTTTCCTAAGGTCTGTGCGCAAGGTGTCAAGCGGTGTCCGTATATGGAACTCTTCCATCAACTATCATGCTGATGCGTCTGCCTAGAATGGCCTAGAATGTCTTAGCTCAATCTGTCCATTTGTTTTGCCGCAGTTCTCTGTCCTTTTTTTTTGATTTGGGACCCCAATGTGATGCCAGAGGTGAGTTAACCATCGATAGTGTCTTGTGCCAAGAACTTCACCTTATGCAATGAAATGTTCACAATACTGTGAAGTGCTTAGTGTCAGATTTCATGTCACATGTATATATGACCTGAAAACCGCACTCCTCCGTCCAATCATCGCTCATATGCAAACATTAATTCTGGACAAAGTTGTTTTCTCAGTTAAAATCAGTCAAGTAACTTTGTAGCTGTTCAGAGTCCCTGGCTCTGTAAAGCAGAATCGATTGGCCATGACCGTTAATGTGACTAACTTGATAAAGCTGTGTGCTGACTGTTGATGACGGATAAGCCAGCTTTGTATACCAGTTGCCTGCTTTTGTCTGTTAACAAAATTTGACTGGGCAGAGTACCAACCAGATCTGTGATCTGACGATTGGTGACTGGCCTGTGTAGAAAGTGTGGCAGGGGAAAGTGAATGGAATCTTGAAATGTCACTGACTGTTACAGCGGAAGGAGGGTTAATCATTAACAATAAAAACTGTTTTTTGTTGGTTTTTTTTTTTTCAGTTCCTCCACTCTTTGTCATTGAGTTCCTTCACAGGATCTTTGACACTTTCAGCGAGTACTTTGGCGAATGCACGGAGAGCACCATTAAAGAGCACTATGTGGTGGTGTACGAGGTAAGATAATTTCTCTGTGCTGTAATTTGTGCTAAAAAACTGTAGCAAGCCCCTTTGGAGCTAATTTATAAGAAGGTAAACGTTGACTTCATTATTCAACTGTGGGACGTTCTTTTTGGTCATCTTCCAAGGCAGAACTGAAATTAACTTCTCAAGTACGTATGAAATCCTCCCAGCAATACCAGTGATGGAGAAATTTACTGAGTGCTGAATTTAGTTGCTTAATAGAGAAAGGTTACCAACCAGACACGCACCCTTGCATTGAATGCTATTCTAGACTGGTTCCCCAGTCTATTTTTGCTTAACTCATGAAATTGTTAAGCAGTCATTCTTGCCAAGGGGTTTGCAAGAAATTGGGCCCTGGTGCCATGGTTGTACAGTGTTCTGATGATGTCAGGATTAGGGTTAAACCAATACACTTCAATTCAATTCAAAATCCTTTATTTATCCTTAAAAAGGCAATTACATTATGTAATTGTCCTGAGTTTTTAGGTTTGCTCATGTACATGTATGAAAAAAAAAAGATTATTGGGTTCCAGCACAGTCTGGACTCCGACTGTGTTGAGTGTAGCTCTGAGCATGAAAGTATACAGGGAGCTAATCTGTGAGTGGCATGGTTATGCCTTGCATTACACAGCTTCTTGAAGAGATGCTAGACAGTGGTTTCCCACTGGCCACAGAATCCAACGTCCTGAAGGAGCTAATCAAACCACCCAACATCCTGAGGACTGTAGTCAACACTGTCACCGGCAGCTCTAAGTGAGTGGGATTTAGACTTCTTCATCTTCAATCCAGCAGCTGGTTTTGTAGGATTTTGATGGTTTGAGGACTGGATAATTTCAGCCATTATCACTGAGCATGGTACTTGTGGTTCGCATTCTGTGAAAGTTTAAAGAACATAGCATTGGTTTGGTTTTGTAGAATTCACTCTTAACCCTTGTGGCATTTAAAAAATGATACTGAAATCAGAGATTTCGGAACTTTAGGGGCTAAAAGAAGCTATTCATAAAAGTAGCAACGATTTGTAAGTAAAATTTGTTTGTATCATCTAGTGTCTCGGACACGTTACCCAGTGGCCAACTTTCCAACGTCCCCTGGAGACGTAGCGGGGTCAAGTACACCAACAACGAAGCGTACTTTGACGTCATTGAGGAGGTGGACTGCATCATTGATAAGAGTGTGAGTGCCCAGTGAACGGCCCAATTTGTGGTTAGCGCTCATCCCAACTGAGAATGTCCCCGGAACACCTGATAATGTATTTGACAAGCTGTTTCCAACTTGGGAACAGTCAAGTGCAAGCCAGAAACCCTGTTCGCCAAGAAAAATGGGCGACATTTCAATTTGAAGAGTTGTAGCAAGAATAATGATAAAACAGTGCATTTTGAATGACAAACGTTTTTTGTATCTTTTTGTGTGAAGAGCACCGTCGAAGCAGCGTAAATTTTCAAATGACTGATCACAATCAAATCTGTTGGAAACAAATGTTGAATCAATTTCTCTCAGATTCTGCAGTGCGTAACTCAAACAGGATTCCAAATCAAATGGGAGTGATCTATTTTGGTGGCCTGTTCTTTATTCTCACAGGGTTCGGTCGTGTTTGCTGAAATCCAAGGCCATATAGAATGCTGCGTCAAACTGTCTGGTATGCCCGACCTCACCATGTCGTTTGTCAACCATCGCTTGCTGGACGATGTCAGCTTCCACCCCTGTGTCCGATTCAAACGTTGGGAGGTAAGTTCTACTTCCAGCTACAAAGTGGAATTAAAAAAAAAATTTAACCACTTCACGCGGGATGACCTGTAAATGTCCAGAGATTTCCTTAGTCCATAATATAGAGGATGTGCAAACATGTTCTAGCGATGAAGTAAGAAATTCAGCGCAGATGTTCAACAAACGACCACCAAGGGTTGGCATGTGTAAAGTCCAACTTTTTAAAGGACTATGACCGTGGTATCTTGTTCCAAAAAGTCAGCGTCTTTGTCCGAAAATATAACCTTGTGCGGGATATGTTCATTAACCAATGATATCAGTGGCAAGTTTTTGATTTTCATGTAGCTCTGTCTAAGACAATGGAAGTTGACATGACCTCTATCTGCACCGTCCATATTTGAATTCTTCATGGCCTATAAAACTAGACTGGTATCTGGTTTTTGTCCCCTCAGTCAGAGCGAGTGTTGTCCTTTGTTCCGCCCGACGGCAACTTCCAGCTGTTGACCTATCATATAGGAGCTTCAAGGTAGGCACAGTTTAGTTTGCTGAATTTGGCTGAATGTGTCTTACCCACACCAGAATGCATCAAACTGAATCACCATCAGGGATGTGCAAACAGTAAAGATTGTCTGAATCTGCATAAAAGATTTCCGAATCTGCATAAAAGATTTCCGAATCTGCATAAAAGATATCCGAATCTGCGTAAAAGATTTCCAATCGCCTTGAGTTGGGCAAGTGGCTTTCACTGCGAAAAGAATCATAATAAAAGATTTGTGAAATTTTTCAGAGTGAGATTCCACGGACTCCAAAGATCACCGATGGAATAACTTACGATTAAAGGATTTAAAATCCGATTAAAGGATTAAAAACCAATTGATTCCCCCCCTTCATAGCTTGACTGCCATTCCAGTCTACATCAAGCCTAACATCTCCTTCCGGGACAGCTCAGGACGGTTTGACCTGACCATTGGTCCGAAGCAGACAATGGGAAAGACTGTGAGTAGTAGAAGTGTTAACAATCTGGGGGGTATTTGTAGAGAAATTTGAGGGCTTCGACTTTCCTGTTTGTGTCACTGGTAAGAGTCGGAATTTACGTTTAATTTGAAAAACGTTCATAAAACCTTGCCATACGATTTAAACATTTAGCCAATACTTGATTGAGTCCGCCGCCACATATCTCGGTGTTTTCATATCTGCATAATTATGTAGTTCATAGTTATATGGTCCCACCAATGTAAAAATTTAGATTGATATCAGGGCATTTAAAACAAGCAATGCTTGTTGTTTTTGAATCCACTCTTTTTCTGAAAAAGCACATGGATGCCGAACGGGGGAAAAAACAGTGTATAACAGGCATCGTTGACACTAAAAATGAACAGCGGATTGCGTCAATCAAAACGTCAAACCTCTAAAAGGGCGGTTCCGTTTAAACGTTTAGAAAAATCTGTAAATAGCTTTGGAACTTTTTTCCGTTAAATCTTTAAGCCTGTAAATGTCCCAACCTTAGTCACTCGCTGAGGTCAAGTCCAGTAAAGAACCGATGCCCCTGGTTTGGAACCCAAGCCATCTTTAAGTCTACTTGTCTCCACTGTTCACTTGACTACCTGTAAAGTGCAATGGTGTGAAAGTGTGTTGGACTTTGCTGCACTGGCCAATTATAAGGAGCCCAATAAATTTGCAGTGGTTTATACACTCGGAGGTAATCCCATGTAACAATGCCACTGGAAGATCCTGTGGTGGACCACAAACCTAAAGGCTGTCTGGCCAGAGGTGTTGGTTGGCCTGTTTGATCTGGTTTCCCTCGGCAGTAAACTTTGAAACTGATGCAAATCAAAGCCGCTGGTGCGGTTCTAGCCAAAATATTCAGGGGGGTTAGGGTTTAGAAATACAAACAGAGGGCCTAGAATTGAAACATCAGATCCTCTGATTTCCAGAGTCAGCAATGGTTGATTCCGATACTTTTTGGCAGGTTGAGAATGTGATGATCACCTCGGACATGCCCAAGCAGGTCCTGAACATGAACCTGACCCCGACCCAGGGCAGCTACAGCTTTGATCCGGTCAACAAGACGCTCTCCTGGGAGGTGGGCAAGATCAACCCCCAGCGCCTGCCCAGCATCAAGGGTACGGTGTCCCTACAGAGCGGTGCCCCGCCCCCCGAGGCCAACCCCACCATCAATGTGCAATTCAGCATCAGCACACTAGCCATATCCGGGGTGAAAGTCAACCGACTTGATATGTACGGAGAGGTAAGTGCATAACAACATGCCATTGACTTAGGGCTGAGTCAATTCGAATAATTCACTATTCGAATATTCGACCTTCAATTTGATTGAATATCCGAATATTCAGTTGCACCAACCAGCAGATTGTTGATGAACAAACCATATACAAAAACAGTTGCAATAACACACACAATTGTACATTATGATCAATATCATAGCTTCTC